CAAAGTTTAATTTATAAATTAAATTAAATCTTATTGTGTCTGCAGATAAGGTGTGAGAATTGAATGTTGTCATCAGCAGGAAAGATTTTTGCTTGTTGGGGGAAAATCTCTCCACGCTTTGTCACAGAAGCCTTCTTTGTAGATGATTGTTGCTGTGGCGTGAAGGCAGAGAAAACCCTGTCAAGTATGTCTTTCCTCTCATATAGTGGATAACGGGTACTACTGAATACTCTGTTTTAACGGCCTCTCATATTTTGGTCCAGAAATCATGCTCTTTGACACTGTTGACTCATCACACCTGTTCTGCTAACAATACCATTTTTACTCCCTCTCATGGGGTGTGGCTGGGATGACTTGTATACTGCAGGTTACATGTAGATACCAAATTTTATAAATTTATTCTTCTTTGCATCTAATAAATACAAAGGGGAGAGATCTTACTGCATTAATTACCTATCAATAGGTATAATTAATGTTAATTCTAATAAGGTCCCAGGCATGCTCCCAAAGGAATGCTTTATAACATAGCATCAGTCTTATGCTTTAAAAAAAGGAAACCAAAACAAAACAACAACAACAAAAACAGCATCTAAAGCATACACATTAGTGTGCACATTTTTTCCTGAAGGTAGAGTCTTACTATGTTTCCCTAGCTGGTCTCAAATCTCTGGGTTCCTCAAGTGATCCTCCTGCCTCATCCTCCCACATAGTTTAGAGTACAGGCATGCGTTGTTGTGCACTCTTATCCTTTTAATATTCTGTACATTTATTATTGAATTAAAATGCATTTTTCCTTTTCTTTAATAGATGTTGGAAGTTCTGATGAATCTGCAGTCAGGTAGGATTTAATAGATGTAAACATTTATGTTAACTAAGGAAATAGAGATGGAAGAAACTAATATCTGTTGAGCGTTGTACTCTGGGCTAGACATCCTACTATGTTCTGTGCATTTATCATCTCATAAAGCCATCACAACATCTGTGTTCCTATAACCTACTATTTATTCAATAAACAACTATGGATTAGTGCAGTCGATTGATTGCCTCATGATCCCATAGTTAACAAAGTAGCTGGCCCACAACTTGACCGTCAGCCTGCCTGCCTTCCAAATCCCTTCTCTTGCTCCTCAGCATAGATTGATAGATATCTGTGCAGCCATTGGATCAAGGTATAGGTCTGAATCAGTTTAATCAGATTCATTAATTCAATTAATGCCTAAATTAATGAGAGTTTAAATACCTTAAACTCTCATTGAAGGTTATTGTTAGAATGTGGTTAGTCCAAGAATCTGTCCTAATGAATTTTAAAATTTCCCTGGTAACCAGTATCTTATTTTTACCATCAAAGTCTTTAGGGCAGAACCTACTTAGCTTTGGCCGTAGGACTGGAAGTTTTACAAAAGTTGTTTTAAGTCATCACTATTCTTCCAGTTTAGGTAACAACATTTATGTCATCCATTAATTGAATTTTAAGCTCAGCTTCAGGACAGATAATTTGTGTGTGTAAATTACTGTCAGGCTCTGCCAATATATTGACTGTCACTATTTGTTATATAAAGCTCAAGGTCAGTTTTCATTGAATATTTTGTAGATTTAGACAGATGGAGGCAGAAATAGGTAACTAAAATCTCTTTTTAGAACAGAGGTCCTATTTTAATTTTATCAAGAATCATTATTTAATATATGGATCACTGACCTTTCCCCAGATTATGTCTTTTGTTTGAGGGGGAAGCTGGATATAAACTGGCAGTTATAAAAATTGTAAGGAAATCAACTTGCTCTTTTCATTGTGTGTTTTTGGTTTCAAGCATTTTCCATGAACTGCGTGTGGATTCATTGCCTACATTGGATGACAAAGACTTGAGTGTTGCTCTAAGGTAAAGTGGTGTCTTGTAAAATTAATTTTCTCACTCTGAATCTAGTTTTACATAGTATTTACTTTTCAAGTTTAGCAGTGGTTTACCTGTCATTGTTTTATGGTGATAATGGAAAGTTGGTCAGAGAAAAACATACATATGGCTAGTTGATTCAAAAAATGTGTTTAACTTTGGTAACTAACAAAAATTGACAAGTACTGTGACCGGGTAGGAGCTTTGAACTGGAAAATAATAGTGACAGGAAGTGTGCATTAGTAAATGCTTCCCCAATAGAAGAAATATGAAATTTGGTTAAGGTTTATTTGGATAAATAGTAACACTTTGACTTTTAAATCATACAATTGTGACTTTCAGACTTTCATACTATTTATGCCTCTATAAATCTTCAGTGATCAAATGATTTGCAGTAATCATGGACCCCCTCTGGTACCTTTTAGTTGTGAAAATGTCCAGCACATAGCATAGAGCTTTTTCTTCTTGGAAACTTATTATTGTGGTATCATATAGTTTCTAGGAGAAACTGTTTCTCTACCTATATTATTGATTCTGTAGTGAGACTAAAATAATATTAAAAATTGTAGGAAAATTGCTGAGTGTGGTGGTGTGTACCTGTGGTCCCTGCTGCTTGGGAGTTTGAGGCAGGAAAATTGCTTGAGCCCAGGAGTTTGAGAACGGCCTGGGCAACATAACAAGACTGTATCTGATTTAAAAATATAAATTGTGTAATGTAGAAATTTAAATTTATGTTTTCAAGATTTGTATCGCAAAGGGATTTTTTTTGTGTTTTATGAGATGTCCATGAAGAGTTTATATAAAACATTTCATCTAATTTCCTCTAATTGAATAACATGTATTTTGCTGCAAATAACCAGTTCTAGAAGCAGAGACTCTTAATACCAATATAGTAAGACTTTAACATCATAATTTTATCATCATAGTTTTTAAAAAATATTTACTTGGCTGCGTTCAGTGGCTCATGCCTGCAATCTCAGCACTTTGGGAGGCTGAGGTGGGTAGATCACCTGAGGTCAGGAGTTCAAGATCAGCCTGGCCAACGTGGTGAAACCTTGTCTCTAAATAAAAACACACAGAAAAATTAGCTGGGCATGATGGCACATGCCTGTGCTCCCAGCTGCTCAGGAGGCTGAGGCAGGAGAATCACTTGAACCCGGCAGGCAGAGGTTGCAGTGAAACAAGATCACACCATTGCACTCCAGCCTGGCTGACAGAGCTTGACTACATCTTTAAAAAAAAAATAAGTAAGATAAAATAAAATAAAATAAAATAACCACTCAAAGTCCTTATAAATAATCATTGGAAGCTCCTGCATACCATGAGCTACTGGACGTCAATGAACATACTTGTGTGTATCCTGGAGGGCCTAAAATACAGTCTTCTATGTAAGAAGCATTTTAATTATTGTTTTTTTTAGATGGGGTTTCATTCTGTCCCCAGGCTGGAGGGCACTGGTGAGATCTTGGCTCACTTCGATCTCTCTTTCCTGGGCTCAGGTGATCCTCACACCTCAGACATCCAAGTAGTTGAAATTATAGACCTATGTCACGATAGACCTGTGTCACCATGCTTGGCTGAGTTTTCAAGAGACAGGGTTTTGCCTTGTTGCCCAGGCTGGTCTTTAACCATTGGGCTCAAGTGTTCTGCCCGCCTCAGCCTCACATAGTGCTGACGTTACGGATTGAGATGTTCAGCCTCAATATTTGTTTAGTCTGAATAAAGAGACAAGTGAATTTTTAAATAATAGAATGTTATAAGTAATATACCTAATGTATCTAATAATTGAATATTGTATTTAAAATATTGCTTACATTTGTGTTATTGTTAATATTTAAAGTTATGTAACTTTTGAAGTGTTATGTTGAGGAATTATGCCATAAATAACAAGGAAATAAATTAGAAATAGGTCATCAGTAGCAAAGAGGGTTACAATATATTTCTAGTATGATTCAACTGGAATCTTAACATTGTGATTTTAGATTAACATTTCTTAAATGTTTTATTAGGCCCAACTCATGTCTATTAAATATACCATTTCAAGCTATACATTACCCTTTAGAGTTCTGGTGACAAATTCTTTTTCTGGGTGGAAAGTTGATGGAAAGTTCCAGGTTTCTCTCTGTTATAATAATGTTCTTTCAGGTAGTGGTAGATGACCATATTTAGCTAATTGAAAGTTTTAGAGTAATGAAGTCTATCACAGAAGTACTTACAAAAAACTTATTGAAGCATAAATATTAATTAGTATTATTAGGGATATGAAAGAACAAGAGGCTGTGTTACAGATTTATTTCTCCATGTACTTTATTGCACTTCATGTTGTTTCTTTTCTTTCTTCACTTAAGCTCATATTTCATTGATCAATTAGGCTTGTTTTTCATTTGTATCTCTCTTTACTCTCACATTTTAAATAGAAATTTTGGAGGAGTCAGGGTCTTGCTCTGTTTCCCAGGCTGGAGTGTAGTGGCATGATCTTGGCTCACGACAGTCTCCACCTCTCAGGCTCAAGTGATCCTCCCACATCAGCCTCCTGAGCAGCTGGGATACAGGCACAGACCATCATGCCTGACTCCTTTTTGTACTTTTGTGTACACATGTGTTCTCATTTTGTTGCCCAGGCTGGTCTCAAACTCCTGAATTCAAGCAATCCACCCACCTTGGCCTTGCAAAGGGCTGGGATTAAAGGTGTGAGCCACCATGCCTGGGCAACATTGAGGTTTATTTAAAGGAATTGATTAGGGCTCTGTGTACTGGTGCACACTGGTTATCTCAACAGTTTGGGAGGCAGAAGTGGAAGGTTTACTTGAGCCTAGGAGGTTGAGACCAGCCTGGGCAGTATAATGAGGCCTTGTCTCTACAAAAGTAACAATAAATACATTAGTCTGGCATGATGGTATGTACCTGTAGTTCCAGCTCTCAGGAAGTTGAGGTGTGAATATTGCCTGAGGTTGGGAGGTTGAGACCACAGTGAGCCATAATCATGCCACTCTATTCTAGCCCTGGGTTGACAGAATGAGATTCAGTTTCATAAAAAGAGAATGATAAGAAACTCTTGATGCAACTCATTATAATTTTGTAAATGGAAACTATTTCTTGATATTTCCTTAGCAGTGTGTCCCCAAGAAATTGTCACAGCCTTTACCTGGACCTTCCCATGAAAAAGGCAACAGAATAGTCAATGGGAAAGGAGAAGGTGAGAAGTGTATTTTATTTAAAAAGTTATTTGATGGAATGTTTCTTTTAAAACATGAGCACTAATACAGTCTACCAGCTAAAGAAAATGTCCTATTAACTATAATAAGTAAACGAGAAGTCAAATGGTGCAAATTGTGTGTCTAACCAAGGTCAGCAGTTGATTCTATTGGGAGCACCACTAAAGGAGCTGAGTGTGAGTTCCATTTTAAGATACTTTAAGACCTGAGGCAACTCAGGAGAGAGGGAAGAGGAAATGAATAAAGAGAAAGAAAGAATGAAGACGGCAGAGTGTACATGTAATACATAAAAAACATATGCGGTGTATGTAATGGAGGGTAGTAAAGTCAAATTGCTCTGTAGAGGAAGGAAGAACAGGGTGTTAGAAATAGGAAAGAAGATAAAGTGAGCTTCCAGTACAAAATGTGTCAGCGAATTAGAGTAACATTTTCCTACTCTTGCTGTCATCCTCACTACTGGGGAGGCATTAAGGATTGAGGTACTTTACCACACAGACCTGTGTTTTATCTACCATAGATGATATCACCGTAAATGGTCAGCCATGTATGGCTATAATTTAGTTTTATAGGAAATGGTGTAAATTCATGGGATAGTATCATATAGGCCAAATTAACATCGTTGAAAGAACAGTGTTGGGTGATTTATGGAGAAGAAATTAAGTAGAGATGGCATTGCCTGATTAAAAGTTCATTAGAAACATTATGGCTTATAATGTAGTATTAAATTCAGGGACATAGTAGGGAAGAAATTGACGTAGGCCAAACAGGGCAATTAGGGTAAACCAATATGCAAGCACATCTGTGTAGAAAAGGGCATTCAAATTGTCATGAATTAGTTGAGGAGCTTCTGGAAAGTGCACATTCTGATTCAGCAGGTATGGGATCCTGTATTTCTCATGAGTACTCAGGTGATGTTGGTGCTGGTCCTTGGACACAGCCCTGATTAACAAGGGAATAGCCTTCCTTCAGAGAAATCTGGAAAAAGAACCATTGGATAGTAATTTTAAAAATAACAGAATCCAGGGAAAGCATTAATTTCCTTTATTTCTGAGCATGATTCTAGCCACAGGGAAGGAGAATGAATGAAAAGATAGATTACAGGTGTATACTACTCCTGAACACAGATGACAACAGTGGTCACAATGATCCATAAAAAGCAGCTAGGAAGGGAAGCATCAGGATGACAGATCTAAAAATCACTTTTTCAAAGGAAGAGGGATTGTGAAAGGACAAGGAGGGAGGAAAGAAAGACATTTGCTGGGTTCTTGGGAGTTAAAGCCAAGTAAACTTGAGATGAGTCACTTCCAGTTGCCTTGGCGTATGGCCAGTCTCACAAGAGAGGTTATTGCTGTGGAGAGTACTGGAGGCAGGAGGGAGTGCTAGACTTGGGGTAAACTGCAGCAGCTCATTTCATTTCATAACTGTCAGGCCTCAGAGAGAGAAGTTTCACTGACATGAGTAAGATGTGATTAAATTGCATATAGATGCTTTGGCTAATTTTTTTTTGAGACAGCTAGTTATTTGATATGATAGCTGTTTCATAAATGTCCTTTACAGTGTAAGATAATATACCAAACTTAGTTAATTTTAGATGCAATCATATTATAAAATTCATTCTGTGAATACCAAATTTCTCATTTTCAATAAATACTGCACTGATTTTGCAATATAAAAGTGTATTCATATCCAGCAAGTCTGTGGTATTTCAGTGTTTTCTTTTTTGATAAATATTTTGATATTTTTAACTGATTCTACATGGTTTGGGATCAAAGAGCTGTAATTTAAGGCCAAACGAGGGGATAGGAGAAATGCAGGTGCTGCAGTAGCCCATGTGGTCATGGGAAAAATGAATATTTTATTTAGCTGTGATTTCATAAGTGTGTATAACAGCTGATCAATTTAGAACACTGTCTTTGATGAGAGGTGAATTGCACGTTCACCTGAACTGTCATCTCAACTGTGTATTTCCTCAGCGACAGGACATGGGGAATTTATCTGTGGTGTGCTGGCAGCAATGCCTCTGATGTGTTGAGTGAAAATACTCTGTACCTTTACCCTCAGCCTTGACATTGATACCCTCAGGTTTGATTTCCTCATCTGTTTAATGGTCTCTTTTCTCCTCATCAGCCCATGTGTTTACAGTGATATCCAGGCTTTTCTGTTTTAGGTACAGGCATTTGAAACATAATGTCACTATTGAAATGTAAACTGAGTATTAGGAATCCTATATTCCTATTTTCCCTCACTTATATTTCCTGGTCATGTTGCTGGTCCCTAGGCAAGGGAAAAGAAGCCAGCCAAGAATTACCCCTCAAAACTTTTAAGGTAATTATATATACAAATCTTTGGGTCCTATATTTAAGGCTTCACATGTGAATTCTGGAAGGTATTCGTGCATTGAGGGAAGATCATCTCAGTTTAATGAAGGCAGTTTTTAATTTAATGTATATTCATTAAATTGCTTTTTTGAACATTTTGGTCTCTAGTACACAGAAACACCACTATAATGTCATGGGGTATTTGACCTTAATGTGTTCATGCACAAACTTAGTTATTCAAATATTTTCTTATCCCTCAAGAATCTGTTCACAGGAAGTGGGTGGATAACACATCCTACAGTTTGGATGCAATTCTTTCATCTTTTTGACTTGTTTTGTGATGAACTGCTTTTAATGGGATGAATCCATGTTTTTTTAGGTTTTAGGGAGAAACACAGAATAAAGATTAGAAGCAAGTAAAGAGGAACTCTATGATCAGTAGTAGACTATTATAGTACATTCTCAATAGTACTATGTTTTTCTCCAGTTATAGAATTTACTTGAATGACGCACAATTAATCAATTATTAGTATTATAGGAGATGGGGTCTCTCTATGTTGCCTTGGCTAGAATACCGTGTCTATTCATTGGTGCATTCATAGCTCACTGTAGCCTTGAACTCCTGGGCTCAAGCAGTCCTCCTATAGTAGCTGGGACTACAATTTTGTGTGGTTATATCTGGCCTGATACACAATTATTTATTTATTTAGTTTTGATATAGGGTCACCCTCTGTTGCCGGTACTGGGGTACAGTGGTGCCATCTTGGCTCACTGCAACTTCTGCTTCTTGGCCTTAAGTGATCCTTTCACCTTTTACCTTAGCCTCCCAAGTAGCTGGGACTACAGGCATGCACCATCACACTTGGCTAATTTTCTTTTGAAGGTGTTGTTGTTGTTGTTGTTTGTTTGTTTGATTGTTTGTTTAATAGATGAGGTCTCACTCTATTGCCCAGGTGGGTCTGGAACTTCTGGGCTCAAGTGACCTCCTGCCTCAGCCTCCCAAAATGCTGGGATTTACAAGTGTGAGCCACTGCACCTGGCCTGCACAATTATTATAAAAGGAATTAAGCCCACTTGCGTTGCAGAAAATTGACCACCTTTCTTTTTTTCTAGAAACATTCATATTGTAGAACATATTGTCAATCACCCAGATTCTCTATTTTTTTAGTTAAAATAGGATTGATGCTTATTTCACATTATTTTCTGACATTATCATTTCATTTATTCCTTTTATGGCTTTATTCAATTGGATAGATATAGAAATATAAGACTTCCAAGTCAAATATCAAGGGAAAAAAAGAAAAGAAAAACAGATTAGGGAAAGCTATTCTGTGAAATAACCACCTGATTACAGTTATATATATCATATCAACTTCATAAAAATCTTACACAATGCATTTGTGTCAAGGTTCCCCAAGAGCACCCCCAGGTTTGGTGGTTCACTAGAAAGACTCACAGGACTCAGCAAATAGTCATACTCAGATCTTTACTTGATTACAAGAAAGGGGACAAGCAGAATTAGTAGAGGAAAAATGTGCACGTGTCAAGTCTGGAGGAAACCAGGCACAAGCTTCCAGGAGTTCTCTCCTGTGGAGTTCCCAGGATCTGCTTAATTCTCCCAGGCTCACATTTTGACAACATTTGTGCAGTGATATCTAGCAGTACCAGAGTCTCATTAGAGACTAAGTACCCAAGTGTTTCTATGGAGGTTACTCTCCCTGACATGTACCCCAATTCCAGACTCCTAGAAGGAAAGCAGCTGTTCAGAGTAACCACACTGTTTCTATAAACACTTTAGACACAGTGAGCCACTCTCCTTAGGGAATGGTGGAAACCCTTCTAGGCTCAAACGATTCTCCTGCCTCAGCCTCCTGAGTAGCTGAAATTAGAGGTGCTCGCCATCATGCCCAGCTAACTTTTGTATTTTTAGTAGAAAAGAGGTTTTTCCATATTGGCCAGACTGGTCTTGAACTCATTTCCTCAGGCTGGTCTTGAACTCATGACCTCATGTGATCCCCCCACCTTTGCCTCCCAAAGTGCTGAGATTACAGGCATGAGCCACTGAGCCCAGTTGTGAATATCTTTTTAAAATCAGTAACTTTATTTCATAGAGCAGTTTTAGGTTCACAGCAAAATTGAGAGGAAGGTACAGAGATTTCTCATATATTCCGTGCCTCCCACATGCATAGCCTCCCCCATGATTAGTATTTTCCACCAGAGTGGTACATTTGTTATGACTGATGAACTTACATTGACACATTATAATACATTCTAATCACTCAAAGTTCATAGTTTACATCAGGCTTCACTCTTGATGCTGTACATTCTGTGAACCTGGACAACTGTATAATGAATGATATGACATGTATCAATTACTGTAATATTATCGACAGAACAGTTTCACTACCCTGAAAATTCTCTATACTATGCCTGTTCATCTCTCACTTTCTCCCTAGCAACTCCTGGCAACCATGATCTTTAGTCTGTCTTCACAGTTTTATTATTTTCAGAAGAGTACAGTGGATATCTTTTTGAATAGTTAAAAAATTAAAGCTCCATGGTAATTGAATGTAGTCATTTAAGATGTTCCTTGTCCTTTTTGTTTTCCTTTTGCTTCTTTATCACTGTAAGGAATGATATATGCTGATGAGATGTGCTTTACATACTCAGAAAACATGATTTGTATAGATGTTTGGGACATAATAGAAAGGGTTGAGGGAAAGGACACCATGCCGTGCCACACGGCACAAACTGGAGTATCTTGCTCTATGATGTGGGTCCAGATAGACTCTCTAGCAATGGAAGGGGACAAGCGCAAGGGGTTGGACTTTATAAAAGTGGAATCACTAAGTCTGTCATACTTACCTTCGGTTGGAGTTAAGACCAGGCAGTGAATGCTATAGGTAAATACATGTGTTTCTCACTGATCCTCTTCCTTTGAGGGATGAGGTTGACAACAGCCTGTAGTATGATGACATGACTCATCTACAACTAGATTCTGTCATGAGGGATGGTAAGGGAGTTTTGCTTGATGTGAGGTGAAAAAGAATTTTCTTCTCCTACTTGGGAGAAGAGCAAGCATTGGAATATTCTGGTAGTAAAAGGCATTGATAGTTTTCTTTCTATATATTTTCACATCAGATAATACTGCCCAGCAGCCTGCCACACCTCCCGAGTGCTTCTTAAGTTCTCTCTGAATGTGGATAAGCTCTTAAAGGAGTGATGTTTCCAGTGGTTCTTTCTGTGGGAGGTAAAATGGCAGGTGAATTTGGGCCTTGTTATACATAGGCAGAGCAAATAGCTACAACTAAGGAAACCACCCAGCACCTTCCCCAGAAGAGAATTAGCCAGAGTAACACACCGATCTCTCTTCAGCTCTTCTCCACTGGTGGCTGGAAGGTCTTTGCAAGATTCTTGTTTCTGGTCTGATTCCTGTGTTTTGCTGGCTTCTGGTGATATAGGGTGTTTTATCCTAAACTGAACAGTTTGAACTGAAGAGCTAGAGAGGCTGTGTTGTGTATAACAAAATAAGTGCAGTAGTTCCCCCTTAACTGTGGGAATACATTCCAAGACCCCAGTGGATGCATGGAACCACGAATAGTACTGAATCACAAACTGGTTTTTCCTATACTACATATGGATAAAAGTTTATTTATAAATTAAATTAAATCTGATTGTGTCTGCAGATAAGTGTGAGAATTGAATGGTGTCATCAGCAGGAAAGATTTTTGCTTGTTGGGGGAAAATCTCTCCACACTTTGTCACAGAAGCTTTCTTTGTAGATGATGTTGCTGTGGCGTGAAGGCAGAGAAAACCCTGTCAAGTATGTCTTTCCTCTCATATAGTGGATAACGGGTACTACTGAATACTCTGTTTTAACGGCCTCTCATATTTTGGTCCAGAAATCATGCTCTTTGACACTGTTGACTCATCACACCTGTTCTGCTTACAATACCATTTTTACTCCCTCTCATGGGGTGTGGCTGGGATGACTTGTATACTGCAGGTTACATGTAGATACCAAATTTTATAAATTTATTCTTCTTTGCATCTAATAAATACAAAGGGGAGAGATCTTACTGCATTAATTACCTATCAATAGGTATAATTAATGTTAATTCTAATAAGGTCCCAGGCATGCTCCCAAAGGAATGCTTTATAACATAGCATCAGTCTTATGCTTTAAAAAAAGGAAACCAAAACAAAACAACAACAACAAAAACAGCATCTAAAGCATACACATTAGTGTGCACATTTTTTCCTGAAGGTAGAGTCTTACTATGTTTCCCTAGCTGGTCTCAAATCTCTGGGTTCCTCAAGTGATCCTCCTGCCTCATCCTCCCACATAGTTTAGAGTACAGGCATGCGTTGTTGTGCACTCTTATCCTTTTAATATTCTGTACATTTATTATTGAATTAAAATGCATTTTTCCTTTTGCTTTAATAGATGTTGGAAGTTCTGATGAATCTGCAGTCAGGTAGGATTTAATAGATGTAAACATTTATGTTAACTAAGGAAATAGAGATGGAAGAAACTAATATCTGTTGAGCGTTGTATTCTGGGCTAGACATCCTACTATGTTCTGTGCATTTATCATCTCATAAAGCCATCACAACATCTGTGTTCCTATAACCTACTATTTATTCAGTAAACAACTATGGATTAGTGCAGTCGATTGATTGCCTCATGATCCCATAGTTAACAAAGTAGCTGGCCCACAACTTGACCGTCAGCCTGTCTGCCTTCCAAATCCCCTCTCTTGCTCCTCAGCATAGATTGATAGACATCTCTGCAGCCATTGGATCAAGGTATAGGTCTGAATCAGTTTAATCAGATTCATTAATTCAATTAATGCCTAAATTAATGAGAGTTTAAATACCTTAAACTCTCATTGAAGGTTATTGTTAGAATGTGGTTAGTCCAAGAATCTGTCCTAATGAATTTTAAAATTTCCCTGGTAACCAGTATCTTCTTTTTACCATCAAAGTCTTTAGGGCAGAACCTACTTAGCTTTGGCCATAGGACTGGAAGTTTTACAAAAGTTGTTTTAAGTCATCACTATTCTTCCAGTTTAGGTAACAACATTTATGTCATCCATTAATTGAATGTTAAGCTCAGCTTCAGGACAGATAATTTGTGTGTGTAAATTACTGTCAGGCTCTGCCAATATATTGACTGTCACTATTTGTTATATAAAGCTCAAGGTCAGTTTTCATTGAATATTTTGTAGATTTAGACAGATGGAGGCAGAAATAGGTAACTAAAATCTCTTTTTAGAACAGAGGTCCTATTTTAATTTTATCAAGAATCATTATTTAATATATGGATCACTGACCTTTCCCCAGATTATGTCTTTTGTTTGAGGGGGAAGCTGGATATAAACTGGCAGTTATAAAAATTGTAAGGAAATCAACTTGCTCTTTTCATTGTGTGTTTTTGGTTTCAAGCATTTTCCATGAACTGCGTGTGGATTCATTGCCTACATTGGATGACAAAGACTTGAGTGTTGCTACTAAGGTAAAGTGGTGTCTTGTAAAATTAATTTTCTCACTCTGAATCTAGTTTTGCATAGTATTTACTTTTCAAGTTTAGCAGTGGTTTACCTGTCATTGTTTTATGGTGATAATGGAAAGTTAGTCAGAGAAAAACATACATATGGCTAGTTGATTCAAAAAATGTGTTTAACTTTGGTAACTAACAAAAATTGACAAGTACTGTGACCGGGTTGGAGCTTTGAACTGGAAAATAATAGTGACGGGAAAGTTGCATTAGTAAATGCTCCCCCAATAGAAGAAATATGAAATTTGGTTAAGGTTTATTTGGATAAATAGTAACACTTTGACTTTTAAATCATACAATTGTGACTTTCAGACTTTCATACTATTTATGCCTCTATAAATCTTCAGTGATCAAATGATTTGCAGTAATCATGGACCCCCTCTGGTACCTTTTAGTTGTGAAAATGTCTAGCACATAGCATAGAGCTTTTTCTTCTTGGAAACTTATTATTGTGTTATCATATAGTTTCTAGGAGAAACTGTTTCTCTACCTATATTATTGATTCTATAGTGAGACTAAAATAATATTAAAAATTGTAGGAAAATTGCTGAGTGTGGTGGTGTGTACCTGTGGTCCCTCCTGCTTGGGAGTTTGAGGCAGGAAAATTGCTTGAGCCCAGGAGTTTGAGAACGGCCTGGGCAACATAACAAGACTGTATCTGATTTAAAAATATAAATTGTGTAATGTAGAAATTTAAATTTATGTTTTCAAGATTTGTATCGCAAAGGGATTTTTTTTTGTGTTTTATGAGATGTCCATGAAGAGTTTATATAAAACATTTCATCTAATTTCATCTAATTGAATAACATGTATTTTGCTGCAAATAACCAGTTCTAGAAGCAGAGACTCTTAATACCAATATAGTAAGACTTTAACATCATAATTTTATCATCATAGTTTTTAAAAAATATTTACTTGGCTGCGTTCAGTGGCTCATGCCTGCAATCTTAGCACTTTGGGAGGCTGAGGTGGGTAGATCACCTGAGGTCAGGAGTTCAAGATCAGCCTGGCCAACGTGGTGAAACCTTGTCTCTAAATAAAAACACACAGAAAAATTAGCCGGGCATGATGGCACATGCCTGTGCTCCCAGCTGCTCAGGAGGCTGAGGCAGGAGAATCACTTGAACCCGGCAGGCAGAGGTTGCAGTGAAACAAGATCACACCATTGCACTCCAGCCTGGCTGACAGAGCTTGACTACATCTTTAAAAAATAAAATAAAATAAGATAAAATAAAATAAAATAACCACTCAAAGTCCTTATAAATAATCATTGGAAGCTCCTGCATACCATGAGCTACTGGACGTCAATGAACATACTTGTGTGTATCCTGGAGGGCCTAAAATACAGTCTTCTATGTAAGAAGCATTTTAATTATTGTTTTTTTTAGATGGGGTTTCATTCTGTCCGCCAGGCTGGAGGGCACTAGTGAGATCTTGGCTCACTTCGATCTCTCTTTCCTGGGCTCAGGTGATCCTCACACCTCAGTCATCCAAGTAGTTGAAATTATAGACCTATGTCACGATAGACCTGTGTCACCATGCTTGGCTGAGTTTTCAAGAGACAGGGTTTTGCCTTGTTGCCCAGGCTGGTCTTTAACCATTGGGCTCAAGTGTTCTGCCCGCCTCAGCCTCTCATAGTGCTGACGTTACGGATTGAGATGTTCAGCCTCAATATTTGTTTAGTCTGAATAAAGAGACAAGTGAATTTTTAAATAATAGAATGTTATAAGTAATATACCTAATGTATCTAATAATTGAATATTGTATTTAAAATATTGCTTACATTTGTGTTATTGTTAATATTTAAAGTTATGTAACTTTTGAAGTGTTATGTTGAGGAATTATGCCATAAATAACAAGGAAATAAATTAGAAATAGGTCATCAGTAGCAAAGAGGGTTACAATATATTTTCTAGTATGATTCAACTGGAATCTTAACATTGTGATTTTAGATTAACATTTCTTAAATGTTTTATTAGGCCCAACTCATGTTCTATTAAATATACCATTTTAAGCTATACATTACCCTTTAGAGTTCTGGTGACAAATTCTTTTTCTGGGTGGAAAGTTGATGGAAAGTTCCAGGTTTCTCTCTGTTATAATAATTTTCTTTCAGGTAGTGGTAGATGACCATATTTACCTATTTGAAAGTTTTAGAGTAATGAAGTCTATCACAGAAGTACTTACAAAAAACTTATTGGAGCATAAATATTAATTAGTATTATTAGGGATATGAAAGAACAAAAGGCTGTGTTACAGATTTCTTTCTCCAGGTACTTTATTGCACTTCATGTTGTTTCTTTTCTTTCTTCACTTAAGCTCATATTTCATTGATCAATTAGGCTTGTTTTTCATTTGTATCTCTCTTTACTCTCACATTTTAAATAGAAATTTTGGAGGAGTCAGGGTCTTGCTCTGTTTCCCAGGCTGGAGTGTAGTGGCATGATCTTGGCTCGCTACTGTCTCTAACTCTCAGGCTCAAGTGATCCTCCCACATCAGCCTCCTGAGCAGCTGGGATACAGGCACAGACCATCATGCCTGACTCCTTTTTGTACTTTTGTGTAGAGATGTGTTCTCATTTTGTTGCCCTGGCTGGTCTCAAACTCCTGAACTCAAGCAATCCACCCACCTTGGCCTTGCAAAGGGCTGGGATTACAGGTGTGAGCCACCATGCCTGGGCAACATTGAGGTTTATTTAAAGGAATTGATTAGGGCTGTGTGTGCTGGTGCACACTGGTTATCTCAACAGTGTGGGAGGCAGAAGTGGAAGGTTTGCTTGAGCCTAGGAGGTTGAGACCAGCCTGGGCAGTATAATGAGGCCTTGTCTCTACAAAACTACCAATAAATACATTAGCCTGGCATGATGGTATGCACCTGTAGTTCCAGCTATCAGGAAGTTGAGGTGGGAATATTGCCTGAGGTCGGAGGGTTGAGACCACAGTGAGCCATAATGATGCCACTGCATTCTAGCCCTGGGTTGACAGAATGAGATCCAGTTTCATAAAAAGAGAATGATAAGAATCTCTTGATGTAACTCATTATAATTTTTTAAATGGAAACTAATTCTTGATATTTCCTTAGAAGTGTGTCCCCGAGAAATTGTCACAGCCTTTACCTGGACCTTCCCATGAAAAAGACAACAGAATAGTCAATGGGAAAGGAGAAGGTGAGAAGTGTATTTTATTTAAAAAGTCATTTGATGGAATGTTTCTTTTAAAACATGAGCACTAATATAGTCTACTAGCTAAAGAAAATGTCCTATTAACTATAATAAGTAAAGGAGAAGTCAAATGGTGATAAATTATGTCTCTAACCAAGGGTCAGCAGTTGATTCTATTGGGAGCACCACTAAAGGAGCTGAGTGTGAGTTCCATTTTAAGATACTCTAAGACCTGAGGCAACTCAGGAGAGAGGGAAGAGGAAATGAATAAAGAGAAAGAAAGAATGAAGAGGGCAGAGTGTACATGTAATACATAAAAAAACATATGCGGGCGTATGTAATGGAGGTTAGTAAAGTCAAATTGCTCTGTAGAGGAAGGAAGAACAGGGTGTTAGAAATAGGAAAGAAGATAAAGTAAGCTTCCAGTATGAAAATGTGTCAGCGAATTAGAGTAACATTTTCCTACTCTTGCTGTCATCCTCACTACTGGGGAGGCATTAAGGATTGAGGTACTTTACCACACAGACCTGTGGTTTATCTACCATAGATGAATATCACCGTAAATGGTCAGCCATGAATGGCTATAATTTAGTTTTATAGAAAATGGTGTAAATTCATGGGATAGTATCGTATAGGCCAAATTAACATCGTTGAAATGAACAGTGTTGGGTGATTTATGGAGAAGAAATTAAGTAGAGATGGTATTGCCTGATTAAAAGTTCATTAGAAACATTATGGCTTATAATGTAGTATTAAATTCAGGGACATAGTAGGGAAGAAATTGACGCTAGGCCAAACAGGGCAATTAGGGTAAACCAATATGCAAGCACATCAGTGTAGAAAAGGGCATTCAAATTGTCGTGAATTAGTTGAGGAGCTTCTGGAAAGTGCACATTCTGATTCAGCAGGTATGGGATTCTGTATTTCTCATGAGTACTCAGGTGATGTTGGTGCTGGTCCCTGGACATAGCCCTGAATAGCAAGGGAATAGCCTTCCTTTAGAGAAATCTGGAAAAAGAACCATTGGAGAGCAATTTAAAAAATAACAGAATCCAGGGAAAGCATTAATTTCCTTTTATTTCTGAGCATGATTCTAGCCACAGGGGAAGGAGAATGAGATGAGAAGAGAGATTACAGGTGTATACTACTCCTGAACACAGATGACAACAGTGGTCGCAATGATCCATAAAAAGCAGCTAGGAAGGGAAGCATCAGGATGACAGATCTAAAAATCACTTTTTCAAAGGAAGAGGGATTGTGAAAGGACAAGGAGGGAGGAAAGAAAGACATTTGCTGTGTTCTTGGGAGTTAAAGCCAAGTAAACTTGAGATGAGTCACTTCCAGTTGCTTTGGCGTATGGCCAGTGTCACAAGAGAGGTTATTGCTGTGGAGAGTACTGGAGGCAGGAGGGAGTGCTAGACTTGGGGTAAACTGCAGCAGCTCATTTCATTTCATAACTGTCAGGCCTCAGAGAGAGAAGTTTCACTGACATGAGCGAATAAGATGTGATTAAATTGCATATAGATGCTTTGGCTAATTTTTTTTTTTTTTGAGACAGCCAGTTATTTGATATGATAGCTGTTTTGTAAATGTCATTTACAGTGTAAGATAATATACCAAACTTAGTTAATTTTAGATGCAATCATATTATACAATTCATTCTGCGAATACCAAATTTCTCATTTTCAATAAATACTGCACTGATTTTGCAATATAACCGTGTATTCATATCCAGGAAGTCTGTGGTATTTCAGTGTTTTCTTTTTTGATAAATATTTTGATATTGGAAACTGATTCTACATAGTTTATTTGATGTGTTTTATGGACCACCTTGTATGAGTGGATCCAGGAGCTCTAATTCAAGGCCAAACGAGGGGATAGGAGAAATGTAGGTGCTGCAGTAGCCCATGTGGTCATGGGAAAAATGAATATTTCATTTAGCTGTGATTTCATAAGTGTGTATAACAGCTGATCAATTTAGAACACTGTCTTTGATGAGAGGTGAATTGCACGTTCACCTGAACTGTCATCTCAACTGTGTATTTCCTCAGCGACAGGACATGGGGAATTTATCTGTGGTGTGCTGGCAGCAATGCCTCTGATGTGTTGAGTGAAAATACTCTGTACCTTCACCCTCAGCCTTGACATTGATACCCTCAGGTTTGATTTCCTCATCTGTTTAATGGTCTCTTTACTTCTTATCAGCCCATGTGTTTACAGTGATATCCATGCTTTTCTGTTTTAGGTACAGGCATTTGAAACATAATGTCACTATTGAAATGTAAACTGAGTTTTAGGAATCCTATATTCCTATTTTCCTCATTATATTTCTGTCATGTTGCTGTCCTAGGCAAGGAAAAGAAGAAGCCAAGAATTACCCTCAAAACTTTAAGTAATTATTTTTATAGTCAGGCATGAGAACTCAGCTTGATAGTAACACTGCCTGAATGTTTGGTTGGCCCTGTCATACTTACATATAATTGATGACATATCCCCTTTGCTTTGTAGGGCCTCCTGCACAACATCCTTCCTTGAAGGTAATTAATTATGCATATTTTTGAAGCACTAACTCCATGTTGTATAAAATATATATGATTTATGAATCATTTTCTTTTAAAACCCATTCAGCCTAGCACTAAAATGGAAGATCCTGCTGTGAAAGGGGCAGTACAAAGAAAGAAAGTACAGACCTTGAGAGCAGGTATGTTATCAATACAAATGGAATGCTGGAAATAAGTACATTAAATGATGGAAGTGCTCACATTATTCTCACCGCTAATTCTATTTGCTTAAAATTGAATGGTAGGCATTGACATAAATGTTATTGTTTGTATTCATATTTGAATAAAAACAAATTTAGAAGCCATAAAAATATTTTTAAAATGTAAACTTTGACTCAGATGTTTCTCTTTTAATATTTTGTATAGCATAAGGTTTTCAATATAAAATTTTTGTACTTGTCAGGGATTCAAAGCAGTGAAATTTGAGACTCTTAAGATATTTCCAGTGAGTTATGTGCTAGTTGGAGTTCTGATCTTTACCTAGAGGAAGGCTTTACTTATTAACGTGTCAGTTTCTGTGTTAACTTTAGAGGCTTGCTGCTAGTGTTATTACACTGATGATCTGAAGCCAATCAGATGTTCCAATGAGCAGACTGTGCATGTAGGTGTATGCATACGTGTGTGTATGTGTGAGTTTGTGACGTCTTTGATTATTAAAAATGAGGAAAGTAACGATTCATTTATAACTGGTAGACAGTCTTTTAAAAGGGTTATTTTGAGACTTTTTGGTGTTAAGGTTTTTAAAACATGATTGCATAGAGGCTACCGACATCGTAAATTGGTTTTCATTTCAAAGCCCTTTTAAAATCTTTAACTATATTGTGATGCTCAGAAGTAATATGCAGAATGTTTTATTTGTGTCCTAAAATGGTACATGAGTGGTTCTACACTTTACATACTTTTCTGCCACCTTCTTTGGTGTATCATATTTTCCAGATGCATCCATATTGATATGATTATCTCTGGTTTAACTCATTTTACACTTTTCATTGTATTCCCTTTTTCCACTTTACCACTTTCAGTTAGACTCTCCTGTTGCTGATAAATGAAGAAAGAAAGAAAAATAGAAATAATGTCAGATTAAAAGGGCTTTTTAAAATCAGTTTGTATCTATTAATATTTACTATATGAAAGTTTAAAGCTGAAAAGTTCAGAATACAAGCATGCACCACCATATTTTATACATGCAGTTAGAACTATGACTCGTGAGCCTTTAGCCTATGAAGTTAGGACAATTCATTTCTCTGAGGAAGAATGCTGCACTGTTCTCAGAAAAGAAAATTGAAAATAGAAAGTGGCATTGTCTTATTTGACCTCGTGGACATCCTTGAATGAATCTGAAACTCCAGGGTCTCTCAGATCAAAATTCAGAAATAATGTTTTGATCAATATATATAGTTTATGTAAGTTCAGTTATCATGAACCCTTGATGGCCAACTGACCTTTCAAGTTTCACTTCTGCATTTTTTGCTCTTTTCCTTGACTTGTCTTAAAAGCTAAAATTCAACAGTTTTATTGATACAGAAACCGGGAATATACCTTTCAAAATATATTTCTGTCCTATCTCACAGCGTTGTGTACTCTTCAGATCTCATGTGAACATAGACTTATTTTCATAATGGAAAAATTAGGTCTTTTGTTTGTGTTTTTGAGACAAAGTCTTGCTCTATCACCAAGGCTGGAGTGCAGTGGCTCAGTCTTGGCTCATTACAACCTCTGCCTCTTGGGTTCAAGCAATTCTCCTGCCTCAGCCCCTCAATTAGCTGCTATTACATCCACGTGCTACCACACCCTGCTAATTTTTCTATTTTAGCAGAGATGGTGTTTCTCCATGTTGGTCAGGCTGCTCTCAAACTCCTGACCTCAGGTGATCTGCCCACCTCAGCTTTCCAATGTGCTGGGATTATAGGCGGGATCCACTGTGTTGGCTACAGATAAGATTGTTAAGGCTATTGTATTTTAGATAAATCTTTGGTCTATATTTAAGGCTTCACATGTGAATTCTGAAGGTATTCATGCGTTGAGGGAAGATCATCTTGGTTAAATGAAGGCAGTTTTTAATTTAATGTATACTCATTATAATGGTTTTGAAGTTTTTGTCTCTAGTACACAGAAACACACAATAATGTCATGTGTTTATTCTCAAACTTAGTTATTCAAATATTTTCTTATCACTGAAGAATCTTAATTATTAATAAACAAATTTCTCATGGAAAACAACATATATAATAGAGATAGTTGAGTGATTCAAAGTAAATTGTAGTAAATCACAGAAGCTTAAAACAAGTTAAATAAACTTGTTTGAGTTAATAGCAATTACAGGACTTGTAAAATACATTAGACCATGAGGGAGTAGTGTGTTTGTGGGGTAGATGACAACATGGCAGTGCTTCAGGGAAGAAAGAATTTTTACACTTTATTACAATTTGTATTACTATTTACATTCTAATAAATAAAAACATAATTTTCAGATATTTTAGATTATGTTTCTACTAGTTGAATCATCAATAGTAAGACTTCAAAGATTTGGGAAGTTGTGAGTTGATGATAAATGTCTATCACCATCAGTGATGAAAAATCAGACAGCAACTACAGACTTTGGACACACGAACTTCATAGTTAAAGAAAGGATTAATATTGGAGCTGTGTTACTATCAGGGAATTATATTCTTCATTACCTGTGTGAGTCGCAGCTATTAGAGTAGGAAGAGAACAAAGAAGGGAAGGAAGCATAGAACATGTTATTCTCGATTCCCTTGGCTGGCTTCATGCTCCCATAGTTCTGACTTTTCAGAAGTCATTTTGTGGCCAAAAGTACTTTGTGTTTCCTCCCCTTCTGCAGCCTACACCCAAACAGAATGCTTCTTAGCAAGGCATTTGTATTCTTCCTTTAAGGAAAGCAACATACAAATAACCAAGAGAATAAGGAGAAAGAGTAATTTCATTGAGGTTAGTATTTAACATAAATTTGAGAGTGGGTACCATGATTATATTTAGAATTTTGGGGCTGGATTGGAAAAATTGGGGGCTGCTGCAGACGTCTACAGATTTCCTACTCAAGCACAGTGTGGCTTTGATTTATTTTTACATCTCTAGTTCTGCAATTATTAGTTACAACTGTATGCAATGTCACTAAAAATACCTTCCCAAACCAAATATTAAATAATGCCTATAGCTTTCTGTATTATAATGTTGATTTTCCCAATATTAATGGGAACCATCGAGCATTTGCCTTATGGTGTCTCCTCAGCTGTACTCACATGTTCCTTCACCTTGTCTTAATGGATAGTAATCCACTAGGAGTATGGGTGTTCAGAAGAGCTGTATCATTTAAAGATAACACAGGAGCATCAAATTTAGTTCTGCTAGAACACCAAGTCTATTGACTAACTGCGGCTAATATGGGGTCTACTTTACATACAAGTGAAATTCAGTGCTCTTAATCAGTCATATGATCATGTCAATAGTAATAAATTATGCAATGTATTTTCACCCCTATAGTTTTAATTTCTTTTTCCCCTTATGTCTAGAATTAACATTTTGTTTTACAAAACATGATGATAGTCTTCTAGAGTAGTGATGACAAGTTATAAATCCAAAGTTTCTTAACTATGCAAATGACTTGTTTGCTTCTATTTTCTCATGAGCTTGGTAAATCCAGGAAGCAGAACTTTTAAAAGAAAATCCCCAAATGTGGCTGGGCGCCGTGGCTTGTGGGTGTAATTCCAGCACTTTGGGAGTCTGACGCAGGCAGATAACCTGAGGTTGGGAGTTTGAGACCAGCCTGACCAACATAGAGAAACCCATCTCTACTAAAAACACAAAATTAGCTGGGCATGATGGCACATGCCTGTAATTCCAGCTACTTGGGAGGCTGAGGCAGGAGAATCTCTTGAACCTGGGAGGCAGAGGTTGCAGTGAGCTGAGATAGCACCACTGCACTCCAGCCTGGACAGCAAGAGTGAAACTCCATCTCAAACAACAACAACAACAACAACAACAACCACAAAACCCAAATGCATTTCCTGTGCACGGTAAAACTGAAACAGAAAAAGTGTAAAGTAAATAGAAGTAACTGAAACAGTTTATGTAGATTAATTTACTTCTCATTTGATAAAGTTTGTAAAGTAATGAGCAGAGTTGTATTGCTCCAGGGACCCAGATATATACATTTATTCATGCAGTAAAAATCTATTCTTATAATGACCACTGATACTTATATCCTAAATATTTCTGAAAACATCTCAGGCCTGCATCATCTTTGCAACATTGCCTTATGTTTTATCTTTGTTCATTTGTTTATGTGTCTCAGAATTTTATGCTCCTCACAGTATTTAGAGTTAATTATCTCTAATGCAAATAGATCCGTGAACCACTCCTGAATACCTAATGTCCAAGCATCTTAAAGGTATATAAGGATATCAGAAACTGACTTCTGGGTTGGGCACGGTGGCTCATGTCTGTAATCCCAGCACTTTGGGAGGCTGAAGCAGGTGGATCATTTGAGGTCAGGAGTTCAAGATGATCCTGGTCAAACAGGTAAAACCCCATCTCTAAAAAAAATACAAAAATTAGCAGGCGGTAGTGGCATGCACCTGTAATCTCAGCTACTTGGGAGGCTAAGGCAGGAGAACTGCTTGAACCTGGGAGGCCGGGTTGCAGTGAGCCAAGATCATTCCATTGCACTCCAGTCTGGGAGACAGAGTAAGACCTTGTCTCAAAAAAAAGAAGAAAAAAAGAAAACTGATTTCTGCCCAAATCTTCATCCATAGCCCGTTCCCCGTCTGCCTTTTTCTCTGGAATTACTGAGCTGCTGGCAATGGCCCCCTCACCATTCCTCTTTTGCAGAGAAATACATACACTCTTGGAGGCTTCTCTCCCTCTCTCATTGCTTCCTGGCATGTGCTCACCCTTTCCTGCCCTCTGCCTCACTTAATCTGGCTAACCTCACTCTCTAAGTCGCAGCTCATGCATGATCTTTAGGAAAGCCATCGCTGACAGCTTTTGTTTTCCTTCCTTATACCCCAGTGCTTAACACATAGCAGGAACTCAATAACTAATTATTTAGTAAAGTTAAGACTGTTTATACAAAGATGATTCAAAAGATTGTCCTCTACAACCTAGCAGCAAAGGGGATCAACAAGTAAAGACATGATGTGCAGTTCAGGTGGTAAAGTGACACTGGAAAAATTGCCAAAGTACTAAGGGAGGCCCATGAAGCAGACACGTGTGTGTGGAGAAAGACAGCTAGAATGAAGGAAGACTTCACACAGCATTCTGAGCCTTTTTTCTTTTTCTTTTTCTGTTGTTGGAGACAAGTTCTTACTCTGTGCCCCAGGGTGGAGTGCAATGACGTGATCGAGACTCACTACAACCTCAAACTCCTGGGCTCAAGGGATCTTCTCACCTGAACTTCTTGAGTAGCTGGGATTGCAGGCACATATCAACATACCTGTCTAATTTTTTGTAGAGTCAATGTTATCTATGGTTCCCAGGCTGGCCTTAAAACTCTTGGCCTTGAGCAATTCTCCCATTGTGGCCTTCCAAAGTGCTGGGATTACAGATGTGAGCTATTATGGCCAGCCTACATTCTCAGTCTTAAAAGATGAAAATAAATTTTTCAGAATAGTAGGGGAAAACATTTGTGATGTAAAAAATGGGGTGAACACTAATTAAGGTATAAACAATGACAATTTTGCAAATTATTAGTAACTGCCAACTCAATGAGTGTGTTGTAAAAAGATACTGTTATGAATTATAGTAAAGTGTTACATTGTATATTTTGACTGCATTTCAAAATTTGTTTTGTTTGCAACAGCTTTGTTTATTTATATTGGGTGGAACAATTTGTAAGTGACCCTGAGATTTTGTATGGCTTGAACCTGGTGATACCTAGTGTCTCCGCAAGTGGTTTGTTGAAGTTTTGGATAATGAGAAGTATTTCTTAAAGAAGTAAATATTTCAGTAAACATTAAGCTTCATTTAAACTCTCAAAATATATAATACAAAGAAATTTTATTCTCTATTTTTATAAAGATTATAATCTTTATCTAACTGTTATTAGTTCATTTGAACTAAACCAATGAATTTGTCAACAGAAAAAGCCTTACTAGTGGCTTCAGAGGAGGAGCAAGAAAGGCATGAAAGAAGCGAAAAGAAGCAACCACAGGTATATAAAAATTTAAGTTTCTTGTTTAACATTGTTTTCTTTTTTTTTTTTTTTTTGCTTTAGTAAGAAAGCATAGACCAAATGACATGACCTTTTAGAATATACCTTTAGAATCAAATGGATCATAATTTTATATTCAATTTTTAAAACATTTTAACCTGTTACAAAACCTAAGATATTCTTACTATCTCTAGTAATTCATAGTTGTCTTTACCCTTGGAATTGAGGCAAGAAATCTTCTTTTATTTTTATAACCTTACTCTTAATACAGAAGGTAACATGAAATATTGAGTCATATTACTAAGGAATAGAAATTATGAACAATTTAACCATGATGGCCATTGAGCTAAACTAGTGCTAAAGGAGTCATCATTGCCAGCGGTTCAAATGTTGCAGTTTTATATTGCTGGTCATCAGTGTCGAGTTTAAAGATTTATTCTGTTTTGTGGTCACCAGTTGACTTCAGTGTCTGTGTTCAGGAAGTGAATGGGGTCATAAAAGTCAACCCAGTTGCCTATTAAGAGAATCCTACCTTGCAGAATGGGACTTTTGGTGTCAGGGTACAAACGATAACTTTATTTCAACATAAATACATAGTAAATATTCCTACAATTTAAAAAATCCATCCACTATCACTAGTGGAACTTAAAATATATTAGAAGTGGATATAAGCAGAAAATCTATCTAGATACATAACACTATCATAGTATATCATTTGAATTGGAATTTAAAATTTTGCTTCTCTTTCTTAGTGGTGTTCAGTTTGGCTCTTAATAATTGAGTGTTTGCCTAGTCTCTAGTTACTCTTCAGAAATATATGTGCACTGTAGGGGCTCACTCTTTCTGGTATGCTGAGGTAAAATCTTTGTAAGAGAGGAATCTTTTATAATACTACCTATCTTTGAATTCATTTCTGGTAGATTTAACACATAATGAATTAAGTTCAGTCCAAACAAACACAGAGAGTTCAGCTTGCCAGTTCATGTTTCTCTCCTATGTTAAGCCAAGGCAAATTATTTTTCACATTTTAGTTACAATCCCATCATATAAGAGTAGCGACACATAGATTAAGTATCAGTTAAATTTTAATTATTTTCTAACATTTCTTTGTTTGTACTTGATTAAAGCCAATTTTAAAACATGCACTCCAACAGAAAAGACAGTAACTGAGAAACAAAACAAGCAAATTTGTTTTCCATTTTGCACCTTCCAAAAAAAAGGTCTCAAGAACCAGAACTGGGTGAGAATTGTGATAACGGGAATCTATCTGTATATTCAGGACTTTCTTTAAGATTCATTACAAACAAGTTCAAGCTGAATATTGGTGAAAGTTTTGAAAACTCCAAAAGTATTGCTTCCCCTGAGGCAGAGCTTCTACATAGTAACTCTAAAGAGGGATGAACAAAAAAGGAGTGCCCTCTGATCTGATGAGTCATGTCCATGATTGTGAGGAGGAAGATGCATCTGGAGGGTCTAACTCTGTGGCATTCCAGGCAGCACCTGAACAGAGGAAGCCCATGGCAAATGTCTTTCATTCCATTCCCACTCCAGGTCCCTGAAATATACTTAGCAGTCATCTTCTAAGCTTCATTTAAATGAAAATAAATCAGACTATAAAAATGATAACAAACCAGACACATAGTTTGTTTCTAACACAGATGAAGAAAAAAATTTTAATGATACAGACACCAAAAAATTAAGGAACCTAGTAATTATGATTGAAATGAAAGATGATTAAGAGTATGACATGCAAATAGCAAAAAATATAAACCCGAATATCACTCTTTGGAAATTAGACATTAGGTATTGGCCTCCGTCTAGAGATCCTGAAAGTCTTTTTGATTTGTGGTTTACCCACCCCAAAGAAATGAAGCATATGATTCAGATAGAAAGCTACAGTATTTCTGCTGCTACAGATACTTCTAAAAACAGAAAACCAATATAGTGCTTATTCCAGAAGCCACCATATGACAATCCCAGTGCTAACAACTACAAAAGCAGGAATCTTGAATTATAAAATGTGAGTTATTCTCTGCCACATAGTGAAAAAACATCAAAAATATAGCTAGGAGACTTACAGCAAGATATTCCAAGGTTTAAGAATGAGATGGGCATGTTACAAGCAGAGTTCCTGGCTTTGGAGAAAGAGAAACTCCAACTTCAAAAAGACAGAGGTTTACTTGCTGCTTCTCTTTTTTCTCTTTATCAATTATTTGATGTAGTCAAATTTTCTATTCAAGAAAATCTCATGCGTACAGTTACAGCGGGGTTATCTAAATGTGTAATTATGTGTCAAAGTAGATTAGTTCTGCTATCTAAATAACGCTTCTGGAGAATGTTCTCATAATGTTTGTTCATTAATCAACCTAAGTCTCACTCTCAGTCTTCCAAGTGGCGTATGGGCTGGGAAACTAATTCAGCCATATACCAAGAGACCTTCTGAACCAGAGAAACATAAAGAAATTGCTAAAGAAATAAGCTCTAGATTCTAGATTCTTTTTTTCTGTATTCATTTAGAGATGAGTTACATTTATTTATTAATAGAATGGGAATACAATGGGAGGGAAGCAATGACTGAGATGAGCCACAAAAACACATCTCGCCTTGAGAGTTGCAATGAATATTCCCAGCCAAATGAGTCTGTTTAATGTGTTTACATGTATGCAAGTTTATCTGCTTAGCTCAAACTGTTTGAACTTATAGTCCCATCATGGTTATTTCAAATACTTTTGAAAACAGATATATACTTCCACATATTTTAAAAAATCACCAGTTTCCAATTTTTCTGCTGAATCAGACCTTATGTTGTTTAATAAAGTATAGTAAGTTTTGGCATGTATGATTTTGACCATATAAGGAGCATCATTTATCAGCCAAAAATTTAACCTTTGACTCTTTAGGAGGAAGTTGAGTTCTGTACATTGTGTTCTAAAGATAGAGATTTTCTTCTTTCAAAGTAAAAGCACATGAGGCTTTTTGCACCCTCTGAGGCATTAAATTGCTTTGCTCAAGTTAGACTTTTAATATATCTGACTAATTTGATAAATTGATCTTTTATGTAATTCAGCAATATAGAGTTGTATCATGTTATTTGGTGCCATGAAATGCTAGTGAATGCCACCTTAGGAGATGTGGATGAAACATTTAATAGGTCTTGGTTGGTTTGACTCCCATTATCAGTAGATAACGGGGCTAAAGTTGGTAACTGGAACATATACATTCCACCTATCAACTTTTGTGGTAATTGAATGTGAAATCTGGGAAGCATCGCATTTTCCAGAATTCTGCACTAGAAACTCAGCAGTTTCACTCTGCTTCTTGTGTTGTGGCAAACTTTGGTTCCCATCCTTCAGGGAGCACGTTTACTTTTTTGATATCCCAGGATTCAAATGGAAAAAAAAAAAAAAAAAGAGAGAGAGAGAGAGATAAAAGGCAGTGGGGAAAAGAATAGCTTAGTGCAGAAAAGGGAAAGCTTCTTTAAGCTTCTTTACTGTTCCTGAAGCCCCACAAGGTCACATCCTCTTCATCTGGCTATTTCATGTAAAATCCAGGTGGTAAAGACAGAAGACATATGTTACGCCTGTGTCTTTTTATTTCTCTGTTTCTGCCAGTCAGATAGCATAAAAATTTATATCAGGCAGCAAAGAGTGGATGGGAATAAAAGCACAAAATGGAAAAGAGTCCTTTTTGAAATTTTGTAAAATTCTTCTGTTCACTCAAACAGAAATAAGCAGACTCGGCAAAAATTTCAATGGTAAAATGATGAGTACCTTATAATTATAATCATTATGTACAATGATAAAATTAAAGAAAACACAAAATACTTTTATGATAAAAATGGTGACATTTAACCTGAATCAAGTGAAAAAATCAGGGAAAAAGTTCTTTTTATTGAATAAAATAATAACAATTATTATTCATATTACTTTTATTAAAGGTCAAAGAAGGAAATAATACAAACAAAAGTGAAAAAATACCAGTATCAGAAAATCTATGTGATCGCACAGCTGCTGCTGACAGATTACCCCAACAAAGAAAGACTGGGGAAATGCATCCTCAGCAGTTTCCCAAGAAGCTGAAGGAAGAGCGTGATAGGTAAGCCTAGAGCACGGATTTTTTTTTTTTCTTTTTCTTTTTCTTTTTTTGATGGAGTTTCTCTCTTCTTTCCCAAGCTGGAGTACAATGGTGTGATCTCGGCTCACTGCAACCTCTGCTTCCCAAGTTCAAGCAATTCTGCTGCCTCAGCCTCCCTAGTAGCTGGGATTACAGGCATGTGCCTCCATGCCTGGCTAATTTTTTGTATTTTTAGTAGAAATGGGGTTTCACCCTGTTAGCCAGGCTGGTCTCGAACTCCTGACCTCAGATGTTCTGCCCACTTCGGCCTCCCAAAATGCTGGGTTTACAGGAGTGAGCCACCCTGCCTGGCTGCCTATAGCAGTATTTAACAGGAGGTAATTGTCATTGTGCTATACACTAATGCAAATTTGGACTAATATTCCTTATGATTAACAAGTTTTATATTTTTACCAGGGATATTTAGTCCTGCCTGGTAATCAGAAAAATGCAAATTAACATAAAATAAGATATATTTTTAAAAGTCATGCTGATATTTAAAAAGTAATTACCAATGTTGGCGTATGTGAGGAAAAATGCATTCTCGTACACCGTTGGTATATGAAATTGGTAAATTATTTCCAAAGAGCAACTTAGTGCTTTGTATCAAAAATTCAAATAACCCGACATCCCTTTAACTCAACAACTCCATTTCTGGGACTAGATTTCACAGGAAAACATAACTTGTGTAAACATACACACACTTATTAAGGATATTAATTATATATTACACATAATGAACAATAGGTTAATAAATATATAAAATCTATGTAATAACAAGGTGAATTGAAAGTACTTAGAAAGTAATATAAAAAATATGGGGTAACAGATGTTAGACTCTTTAGCCTAGTTTTGGCTGACAGTCATCTGCAGATATAGTTTGTGTGAGGGACAGCTGAAGGTTCCATCTTACTCTGTCAATCATTTGGAGAGGTACCTGCAATATTTCATAAAGATGAAACTTTATTTCTAGTGAACTTAGACACTTGTCAATAAATAGTAACTTTAAAAATGTAGTTGATCGTAAACAATCTTTTCTAATAATGGAGTAATTATGATTGTGTGATTTGAAAAGGTAATTTTGAACATGTAACTTTACTGAATAATCTCCAGTATCCTTTTTTATAATATATACTAGAGTGACTAGTAACAGAAACTATAGCGGAATATCCTTTCCTTACTACTTTTCAAGTATATGCATTCTTTGGAAGATGTTGAAGTGAGAAATTAAATATCTGAGAGCTGCAAAGGAAAAATAATCCAGAACATGGAAGTTTTATTAGGATGATAAACAACATCTGCAGAGATGAGCTCTTTATTTTTTAACAAAATGCATTTTAAGAGAAATGTCTTTATCTGCAGATGCACCTTCAAACAGGAAAATGAAGAAAAAATAAATGTTAATATGCTGTACAAAAAAAATAGAGAAGAATTAGAAAGGAAAGAGAAACAACATAAGAAAGAAGCTGAAGCAAAACAACCTGAACCGACTGTTCAGTCACTAGAGATGAAACCAAAAACTGCAAGAAGTACTCCAAATCAGGTAAATCAATCTTTGGTAAAAATTCTATATTTTAAGCATTATTTATCAATTTTACTTATAATATCCACTTGATTTAATATATACTATAATAGGTCTAAAACAAATCAGAAATGTTATCTCACTTTTAAAAATGAATGATGACACTTAGGTACAATTATTAATATTTATTATAAGTCTTGGCATCCACATAGGATATTATTTTATTACCAAGTGCTTTTGCAAACAATAACATGCCATAATGTATACTTAGTGATAACCTATTGATAAAAATGTTGTTCCCAGGAAAATTGTTCCTTGTACTTCCCTATTTCATATTGATTACTGTACCTAAAATAAAATAAAGAAGAAACAGAAATTATTGCAATCACAAATAATCTCATGATATCCTAAGAAGAGCTCTATAAATTTTATCTTATTTACCGTTGGTGTTTTAAAATAAAAGTTTTATTTTGTATTGATATAATTACACCACAGAAGTAACTGTGATCTGTTGGAGAACTAGAAATAGACTCACAAGTCCTGGGGAAAATCCTGTAGCTTGCTTATATTTTTAACCTTTCTTTTTCAAAATTATAGTAACTAGAGGAGTTCATCAATGAATGTATATAGGAGTGACTAGTATAATGTCTAGATTTATGATTTAGTAAATGCAATTCTTATAACTGACTATAGAAGTGTTAAAAGAGTCAAATTGCAATAGAATATTATCTGGGAAACAGAACTGTAATAACTTTGGGAAATTTTATCTGTCCAAATACGTGTGAACTAAGGTTCTTACTATAGGGTGGTGTAAGGGTTAGATATCAAAGTGTAAATGCATTTTTTGGTATATTTTAATTTAGTCAAATTTGTTAATGCTTTAATTTATGTTTTTGGGTTTGTTGTAATTCAGGCAAAGGCTTTTCCAATTCTGATATTCTTACAAATTCTCTGGTGTGCATGTGTGCGTGTGTGTGTGTGTGTGTGTGTGTTTACTTTTATGAATTCATTGACTTTAAATAAATTTCTGAACTTTTTGGAATTTATGCTCTACAAGGTTCAAAGTTTTGCTTCAACTTTTTCTCCTGTTGGATATCCACTGACAGTAAACTTTTTAGTGTATGGATGTGCAGGTTATTCTTTAGCTTCAGAGGTAATCATGATATGTTATTTTATGGAGTACTAGCTAAAACTTTCTTTTATTTTATTTAGGATTTTCATACTCATGAAGAAACGGAAGATCTGATGGATGAAAATTGCATTTTGAAGACAGATATTGCTATACTCAGGCAGGAAATACTCACAATGAAAAATGACAACTTGGAAAAAGAAAATGAATATCTTAAGGACATTAAAATTGTTAAAGAAAGAAATGCTGCCCTTGAAAAGAGTATAAAACTCAATGAGGAAACTAACAAAAACAGCATTCCAGGATCAACAAGAGCTGAAAGATCTCAAAGCTGAGAATAAAAGGCTCAATTCCGAACTGCTGAAGAAAAAAAGAAGCAAGACTGAAGGAAATGAATACATCTAGACTGCTGTAAAGAACACATGAAAGGAAAACAGAAAAAACCTAAACTTACTTTACAGAACACAAGACATTTCTGTGCAAGAAAAAATGAGTTCTGATATCTCCGAAGTTGAAGATAAGAATGAGTTTCTCACTGAACAACTTTCTAAAACGCAAATTAAATTCAATACCTTAAAAGATAAGTTCCGTAAGACAAGAGATACTCTCAGAACAAAGCCATTGGATTTAGAAACTCTACAAAACGACCTAAGCCAAACCCAGCAGCAAATAAAGGAAATGAAAGAGATGTATCAAAATGCAGAAGCTAAAGTGAGTAATTCCACTGGAGAGTGGAACTGTGTGGAAGAAAGGATATGTCAACTCCAGGGTGAAAATCTGTGGCTTGAACAGCAACTAGATGATGTTCATCAGAAAGAGGATCATAAAGAGAGAGTAATTAATATCCAAAGAGGTTCTATTGAGAGTGGAAAGAAAGACCTCCTGCTCCAAGAGAAAAATAAGAAGCTAATGAATGACTATGATCATTTAAAAGAAAGTCTCTTTCGATATGAGAGAGAGAAAGCAGAAAGAGTAGTAAGTATCAAGGAAGAGAAATATTTTCAAACTTCTAGAAAGAAAATGTAAACATTTGGTTCTGGATACATGTTGAACCTAGTTGAATATAAAAATCAATAGATGAAAAGTGTGTTTACCATATTGTATAATTCCATTTACGTGAAGCATCCAAAAAAGAGAAACGTATAGGGACATAAAGTAGATTACTGTTTGCGAGGGGCTGGGGCTGGAAGCTGGTAATGACCGCTAAAGGGCGTGAGGGATCTTGCAGTGATGGAAATGCTCTAAAGTTGGATTGTAGAGATGGCTGCACAACTTAGTAAATGTACTAAAACTCGTTTAACTTAAGTTAAAACAGATGTAGTATGTAAATGATATTTCAACAAAGCTGTTTTAATAAGAAAACATAAAAGGCAAAATGTGTTTACTCCATCAGCTTAGAAACACACCTTGTTTCTAGGAAATAAAAGGTAGAGGTGAGAGATGATTTACTTTGAGAAAAGACATTGTGTCACCTGCAAAATTGTATTAGGCACAGAGTCATATTTTCAGGTAGATAGTCCTGTACTGGTTAAATAATAATTTTAATGTCTTTATGTTGCCACATGTTAAGACCATGATGAAGGTATAAATGGAAATATTTACACCTGAAATGAGTCTTTTCAAATTACAATTTAATTAAGTGATTTTCTTTGACACTTAATTCTAGATTTCCCAGATGAACTGAAGTGCATTGCTGTGTCTTGTCATACCTTGCTTTAAGTAGCTTTTAATATATTTTAGTTGGTATAAGCTTTGTTATTATTCATATTAACAAATCTGAAAATGTGAGTCTCAAATTACATATTTTTATGACCACATAATGTTTTAAGGGCACCTACTTGTTATAAAATCATAATTTAGGATAAACGTGGTAAATTTTAGCAAAACCGTATTTGGTTTAGTCTTCCCACTGGAATTTATAGTTTACTTTGAATATTTTTATTAATAATTAACTCATAATTTTTATTTCAAAGCTCAATGACTATCATTTGAATATAACTTTGTCCAGTACAAAGATACTATAGCTGCCTGTGATTTATGAGTTAGGCATTAGATCCCCATTTTCAGACTAAAGAGGGGTGGTAGGCTTATGTACAGTGGGAATGGAGTGAGCACAGGAGGGAGTTGTAGGAGCTTGAAGTCAGAGAGCGAGGTAGAGGCCTGTTTACCTAGGGCCTCAAAGGTCATTGGAATTTTACTTTTATTCTGAGATAGGAATCTGTTAGAAGGATTTGAACAGGTGATTAAATATGTTAGGAACTTTGAGGTTGAGTTGAGCTTCCAAGATGATTGAATGGTGGGATGAGTCTGTTGCGTAAGTAAGAGAATACCAATTAGGCAGGAAGATAACACATTCTGCATTCCTCACTGAACTCAGTAATAAATAAAAGTGTGTACATGTGATGAAAAGAAGGTGAATTAATGTGTGTGGTGATAATTTTCAAAGTAGGTACGTTAGAGTTCAATAGTCTTAACATAATTTAATAATAAGGCAATTAATAAAATCAGTAACAAAATTATTTTATCGGGTGGTTGTGAGACAACTTCAACGAGAAGTAGCTGATTCCCTTAAAAAATTAACTATGTTAGAGTCTCCACTGGAAGGTACATCACGTTGTCACATTAATTTGGATGAGACACAGGCCTCAAAGAAGAAATTATTTCAAGTGGAAAGTCAAGTATGTATGAAATTTAACATGTCGACAGTTATTCTGCAGCTGATTGAATTATATAACATGTTTTAGGATACTAATTTTGGCAGAAGCTTTTGTGTTTTAATTATAATTAATTATTTCCATTTTACTATGTTTATAATGTACTTTTCTTTTATATTGTGACTTTCATTCTACCATTTTGAAAAACCATTGTATACCTTTTCTCTTGCAACACATGCCCTTGGAAAGGTTGAGAATTATACATCATTCCTCACAGAAAATTGACTTTTCTCCTGTTAAACATATTTTTAAGTAATTTTTGTGTTGCTCTGATGAGGCACGCCAGATTAAATCAGAGGAGAATGTTTAATGGAATGTTCCAGAAAATTATCTTATTTCTTCACTTTTGTGAATGAACACAGAATCTGTGTCTATTTATTTCACAGATTCTAGGTTAACTTGTACAGAAAGGCCACTATACTAGTCTTTGAAATGTACATATTTTAGGTTAATTTACAAACTATTTGAAAAGTTAGGCATTCTCTTTATCTTTTATTTAAAATATACTATAAAACTGTAGAAATATTTAGATTTGATATAGTATGTACATCAAAAATTGAGAGTTGATAAAATTATCTTGGTCCTGCCATTGGATTTTAAAAACGGTTTCACTGAGATATAATTCACACATCAGATGGTTCAACCATTTAAAATGTGCAACTCAGTATTATTAGTATATTCACAGCATTTTCATCACCCTGAAAAGCAACCCCACATCTCCTAAGCATGACTGCAACCTTCCTCCATGTCTCTTCACCTACCCCTGTTATAGGCAACCACCATCTACTTTTGTCTCCACAGGTTGGCCTGTTCTGTGTATTTCATATACATAGAGTTATACAATCTGTAGTCCTTTGTGACTGGCTTTTTCACTTAGCATAATATTTTCAGAATTCATGCACATTTTGGCACACACTGGTAGTTTATTTCTTCTTATAGTTAAATGATATGTATTGCATGACTATACTGGTTTTCCATTCATTCATCAGTTGATGGATCTTTAGGTTAGTTTCCACTTTTTAGCGATTATGAAAAATGCTGCTGCAAACATTCACTTACAGGTTATTATGTGGACATGTGCTTTTATTTTCCTGCCATTGAACTTTATCCTCAGAGTTAATTGGGCAGATTTCAGCACTTGTCTTGCTCATGCTATCCTTTCTGCCTTTTCAGTTTCTGTTCATCTAGCCTCATTCATCAGACCTGGCAGACGATTTTTTGTTTCATGAATTTTTCTATGACTGTTCTGACTCTCATCGACCTTATGTGTTAGCAATTGTTGTCTAGTCTGTGCAGAAAAACTGAGTCCTTAATTTTTACATGGCTTTTTTATGGAAGATAATTTTGTCTCATTATAAATGTGCTTAATGGGGGAATAATATATAATATGTATGCCACCTATCCTTGCATAAATTGAAAACATTTTAGCTTAGAAGATTTTAGCATACAATGAAGTACTTTATACCATACCAATTATTTCTTCTTTGAGACTTTGACACAGTAAGGTTTATATTCTAAATGTATTTTTAGCAATTAAATATCAAATCTAAACCAATGAGTCTAATAGAGGAGAATCGTTCAAATCCATGTTTATGTTTTTCTCACTATGAAAAGGAATCTAAATTGGCCTTTTTTCACTCCGCAGCCAGAACTGTATTTCTGGACTGCTACCAGTTTGTCAGCTGAACAGTTCTGGCTGCAGCTTGTCTGAGGAACAATAGCACAGCCCCTCAATCTGAGTGCTCAGCAGACGGCTTGTGAAGGCAGCACCACAGCAACAGTTGCTCAGAGGGAACTGATTCAGGAACCTCGATTTAGCAATAGAGCCTAGGGTTTTTGGCTCAGTGTCTTTAGCCTGTCTCTGCTGGTCATGTCAGTTACATACTATTCAATCCAGGAGGTGCTATTTACATTGTAGTACATACATAGTCATTGCCTACTGAGTCATACAGATAGAAAAGTCCGTTATAAATTTTATGCCCCCCATTTGCTGCAGCTCTCAGTGGTGAGAAGAATGATTGAGTGCAGCTATAGGAAACTAGTTCCATTGGCATGCCACCTGCCTAACATACACAATTTTGTTAAGATATACAGATAGAATTATTATACTAATAGCAAATATTTTATGTAGCTCACTATGTTCCACGTGCTCTTCTAAGGGCTTCATGTTAGTCCCCAGTTAAACACCTGGTTGGGGGAGGTGACTCATGCCAGTAATCCTAGCATTTTAGAAGGCTGAGGCAGGAGGATCGCTTGAGCCCAGGAGTTTGAGACCAGCCAGAGCAATATAGTGAGACCCTGTCTCAAAAAAAAAAAAAAATTTTAAACACTTACTGAGGCATGGTGGTGCATGCCTGTAGTCCCAGCTACAATGGGAGGCTGTGGTAGGAGGGTCACTTGAACTTGGAATATTGGGACTGCAGTGAGTGGTGATCAAGCCTCTGCACTCCAGCCTGGGTAACAGAGCGAGACTCTGTCTCATAAGTAAAACGTTCTGTATAGATTCCCATAGAATTAAGTTAGACATCAGGCATAGAATTATTAGCCACTTGATGTCTGCCTTGAGTGTAAAACATGTAATAAGGGGCAGCTTTAAACCATTTCCATCAATAGCCTCTAACTTCTCAGGAAGGTTCTTATTTCATGAATTTCTAAGCAAGAGACTACCTGGATTAAGACATTTGGTGGATACCATTTTGAGATGAGGAATCTCAATTGGGAAGCAGGGAGACCTCTACTTGACTGGAGCTGCCAATGATATAGTTGAGTGTCCCCCTGAAAGAAACTTTAGAACAAGACTTTCATCATGCCACATCTCTATGGAAAAGGAAATTCTTTAAAAGAAAACAAAGGCAAACAATTGATAATCTGATTCTCATGGGAAAGTTTTCGTTATAAAAGAAAACAAGGACTGGGTGCCATGGTTCATGTCTGTAATCCCAACACTTTGGGAGGCTAAGGTGGGTGGGTTATCTGAGGTCAAGAGTTCAAAAACAGCCTGGCCAACATGGTGAAACCCTGTCTCTACTGAAAATACAAAAATCAGCCAGGTGTGGTGGTGTGCACCTGTAGTCCCAGCTGCTTGGGAGGCTGAGGCAGGAGAATCACTTGGACTCAGGAGGTGGAAGTTGCAGAAAGCCAAGATGGCACCACTGCACTCCAGCCTGGATGACACAGTGTGACTTCATATCAACAAAAAATGAAAAACAAAGAAAAACAGTGTATACTGGTCCAAAAAAGAAGAAAGAAAAAAAGGACAAAGTATACTGGTCAGTATTGTAACAGTGAGATAGTCCCTCTTTGAGATTAGAAAATAACAGTATTCTCAAAGTAGCATCAATAAGAACCAATGTAAAATAGACAAGATTCACTATCTACAAAAGTCATCTGCACCAAGTAGCAACGTATGAGTGTGTGGTTGAGAATATGGTCTATAATATGTGTCCTAGAAGGAAGAGGCCTCAAGAGAAAGGTCAGAGCTGGAAATGTAGATTAGGGAATCTAGGTCAAAGTTTTGAGGTTTTTCAGAGTCCTGAGAGAATTTAAAAAGTGAAATAGCATCCGGGTGTGGTGTCTCATGCCTTTAATCGCAGCACTTTGGGAGGTCAAGGCAGGCAGATCATGAGGTCAGGAGTTCAAGACCAGTCTAGCCAACATAGTGAAATCCCGTGTCTACTAAAAATACAAAAAATTAGCCAGGTATGGTAGCACATGCCTGTAATCCTAGCTACTTGGGAGGCTGAGGCAGGAGAATCACTTGAACCCAGGAGGTGGAGGCTGCAGTGAGCCAAGATCATGCCACTGCACTCCAGCCTGGGTGACAGTGGGAGAGTCCATCTCAAAACAAAAAACAAAAACTAAACAGAACAAAAACCAGAAAGGAGTAGAGCTGAACAACACAGGTTGCTGCATTTAGAAATGAAGTGGGGTCAGAGGAGCAGAGGGAGCATTTGGTCACCGCTCGCAGTTGCTGCTGAGTAAAGCGGAGTAAAGTCCTTGACGACCCTTGGAGTTTTTTATTGGAATTATTAAAAATCAGATTTCAGTATAAAAAACACAGTAAGTGATGAAAAATAGATTTCTGGATGAGACCATGTGTCATAGAGTCCAATGGAAGGGGAGAAACAGGGTAATAGAAAAGCCACAAAAAGTAGACAAAAGTTGTGCTTTTGTTTATTATAGAAAAAATAAACTTTATTTAAAGAGAAGTGGTTAAGAGAAAGAGAAAAACTGAAACCTATGGGTGAATACTTAGAATGACAGTATTTAGCTCAGCCTGAAGACAGATGAGGATCAAAAATGTAACAGGAACTAGATAAGAGTTTTCTAAAAATCGTGTTAGTAAGACATAATTTAAGAAAACTTGGAATATCTTAAATATTAATGACAATGTTTCTAGAGTATCTTTAAAAACTAAATGTAAATATATAACTACTACTTTTTTTTTTTTTTTTTACTAACCCTTAGTATTTTATGTGTAAAAACCCTCATTTGTAACAAAGATTTTTGGCAGTTTAAATTTCAGAAAAGATAATGATGAAAGTATGAATCACTTTTAGCATTTTGAGAAAAATTACTATTTTTGAAATCTGCCCTTCCTGGCATCGGGTTTATAAAATGCACTTTATACACCTGCCTAAATAAGTATTACTCATCCACTTATGAGAAAAATATTTGAGATAAAAGAGGGTCTCTAGATTTTACAAAAATAATTTTAAACATTTTTTTTTAAGACTGAAGAAAAAAAGGAAGAATTAAGAAAACTTGTTGAGTTAATATCATCACTGGAATGTAATGTGAATCGAGTAAGAAAGAAAAATCATGAATTAGAACAAGAGGCAACTGGGTAAGGTTTTCCTATTGTAGAACATGTTAACCATTTATTAATTGATTTAACTCTAATTTTACTTGACTAAAACCTAGATACAAATTCATGTTATGTCTGTATTTTCATAATTAAATGAATTCTATTTTGAAATGTATTTTACAAGCTCACAACACAACTTTATAGGCATCTGCGTCGTGGGGGCGGGAGTCAGCTGAGCTGCTGGGGCAAGGTGAAAGTTTTTTGAAGCCAAAATATTATACTTATTTTATTTTATTATTATTTTTTTTTTGGTGGAGAACAGAGTCTGGCTCTGTCTCCCAGGCTGGAGTGTAAAGGCCCGATCTTGGCTCACTGTAACCTATGCCTCCAAGCAATTCTCCTGCCTCAGTCTCCTGAGTTGCTGGGATTACAGGTGTGTGTCACCATGCCTGGCTAATTTTTGTATTTTTAGTAGAGACAGGGTTTTTCCAAGTTGGTCAGGCTGGTCTCGAACTCCTGACCTCGTGATCTGCCCGCTGCAGCCTCCCAAAGTGATGTGAGCCACCGCGCCTGGCCACTTACTCTTTAATGGTTTTGAAAACAATGACAAAGCCTTGGACAAGTAATGTCAAGTACACTCTTCATTATCTAGCTTGAATTTTGATTTCTGAAGATATTTTTGCTGTCTGTGGTCATTTTTTCTTCCCTTTGTAGTATCCTCTGCTGCATTCAAATTCTTTAAAGACCTATTTGTGTCATTCTTTAACATCAAAATTTACCTTGATATGTAGCTTATATTTTGTTTCTGCTTCTTTCTTTTTCTTTTAGATATAAAACATATTGGAAGTTTACTCATTTTACACGGTACCTCCGTTGTATACATGAAGTATACATGTTATAAAACTTCTGTTTTACATAAATAAATTTCATATATATATAAATATATGTAAAACCTAAAGAAAAAGTAAAATGAAGCATTCACATTTTGATCACTTTTTTTTTTTTAATGGAATGTGTCTTTGAAGCCCTGAACACAGCTACTTCTCTATTTATTTACTGAGCACTTAAGTTTGTTTTTGAATCTAATCGACATTTTTCTGACATTGCCTTTCTCTACATGGTTTTGTATCTCTTTCATTTTGTTGACATCATGTCAGCAAAGATCTCTAGATCTCTTCTTCAAAGTCTTTAAATCATCACACATCTCTCTGCCCCTTTCCCTTTTTCTAAAACAGCCTGTTTCCTTTTTCTCCTCAACTCAGATACTAAAGATGTTTTCTTCTCTTTTTCTACATTGAATGATCTCCTTGATGCTTTTTGTGTGTACTTTTTTCTCTTATAGACTGCGGTCAATGGGTGTCAAAATGTATTTTTGTGTCTTTTTCAAACATATGTGTTTTACTTTTTTATCTTGGTTACTCATCTCTGGGTTATGGCTTATATTTAGTAATAGGTTATTTTACTTAGCATACCAACATGGATATGAATAGTTTATTTACAAGAAGTGTAGTTAGGCCAGGTGTGGTGGCTCACACTTGTAATCCCAGCACTTTGGGAGGCCAAGGTGGGTAGATCATTAGAGGTCAGGAGTTCAAGACCAGTCTGACCAGTGAAACCCCATCTCTACTAAAAATACAAAATGAACCAGGCGTGGTAGTACACGGCTGTGATCCCAGTTACTTGGGAGGCTGAGACAGGTGAGTCACTTGAATCCAGGAGGCAGAGGTTGCAGTGAGCCGAGATCACACCATTGCACGTCGCCCTGGGCAACAAGAGTGAAATTCCATCTCAAAACAAAACAAAACAAAATGTATGGTTATAATATCACTTTACCTGCTATATATGCCATAAATTGTTCTTCATATTATTTATCTAAGATTGTAATTTCATATAGAATGCTTTCAAACTATGTTCAGTTGAAACTGAAAGGATCATAGCTTATAGATTTGTTTCTTTGATATGCCATAACATAACATCTTTTTAAACAATTATTAAATAGTTACTCTTAAAAATACTTGACTTACTAACTATGTACATTTTTGCAGATATAAGAAACTCCTGGAAAGGACAATAAATATGTTATATGTATTTGGAAATGAAGACTTTGGTTTCCATGGAGACTTAAAAACTGATAAACTGAAAATGGATATTCTGATTAAGAAGCTAAACCATAAGGTGATTTCTTTTAAAAAAATTATTTTATCTTAAGGTCTAGATTACCTGAGCAAGGCATGCAGGTGTGTTACATAGGTAAACGTGTGCCATGCCATGGTGGTTTGCTGCACCTATCAATCCATCACCTAGATATTAAGCCCCACAGGCATTAGCTATTGATCTTGATGCTCTCCCTCCTGACCCCAACATGCCCCAGTGTTTGTTGTTTCCCTCCCCAAGTCCGTGTGTTCTCATTGTTCAGTTCCCACTTAAAAGTGAGAAGATGCAGTGTTTGGTTTTTTGTTCCTGCATTAGTTTGCAGAGGATAACAGCTTCAAGTTCATCCATGTCCCTGCAAAGAGCATGACCTCATTCGTTTGTATGGCTCCATAGTATTCCATGGTGTATATATACCACATTTTCTTCATCCCGTCTATCGCTGATGGACATCTGGGTTGATTCCATGTCTTTACTGTTGTGAAAGGTGCTGCAGTGAACATACAAATGCATGTATCTTTATAATAGAGTAATTTACATTCCAACATACGGTAATTTTAAATCAGTTTTGGGATCAAAAATCACATAATTTGGGAAAATATTAATAATGAAAAAACCCAAATTCTGCCAAAATATGTTGAGAAAATAGAGGATAAATATATCTTTTCAGATTTTAAATGCATCAGGCTCTTAGTTAATCTTCCCCAGAACTGGGAAGACCTAGAAGGGGAGAGATTGGGCTACATTAATGAGGGCCATTTCAATCTCTTGGCCCTGCAGCGGCCATTTCAAAATATGTCAAAAAATATATTTAGGGGTTAAATATTTTGATTTCCTTCAGCTTCTTCTCTCTGTGATGCTGGACCGGAATCGGGTTAGAAAGTGAGCCACATTATAAGAGTTAATAAAACCCATCTGATGAGATTTTATAGTTTGAAGTGTGTGATTCCCAGACCCTGTGGATAGAAATTGGAGCCAAAGAAAACAAGGTCTTATTCCTCAATATAAATCTCTCAGTGCTTTAAGCAGTGAAAGAAAGATTTTTCATTTAATTTTACTGAGTTGATACTAATGAAAAGAATAGTTTTCAAAACATGAATCCTTTTTTCTATAAAAAGGACATGCTGTTGATTCTCTTAGGCCTTGACCTCTGGCCAGTGATCTGAAACCAAGCAACATCTGTCTCCAGATCACTAGTACCAAAATCACTAGTACCAAATTAATTTGGAGTGGAGCATAACAGGTTTATTGAGAAATAATGAGCACACCATGCAATTCACTAATTATAATATACAATTCATTCACTTTCATATTTTGAGAGAGTTCTGCAGTCCTCGTTACAATCAATTTTAGAACATTTTCATCACCCTAAAAACAAACCCCACATTATTTAGCCATCTTCACTAGTTTCCCCTTCCTCCTTCAGCCCTAGGGAACCACCCACCTTCTTTGTATAGATTTGCCTATAAGCCTCTGAAATAAAAAGCAAGCGGTCTACAGTGACTGGCTTATTTCACTTAGCATAATTTTTCATGCTGCATCTGTGCTGTAGCAGGTATTGTTGCAGAGTTTTTGCTCCTTAGTTCAGCTAAATCTGGGTTCTTCTGTCATGACCAGGAAAAATTAAGCACGAAGACACATTGAAGGGTGAGGAGGACAGAATTTATTAAGTGAAAGGAAAGTGCTCAGCAAAGAGAGGGGTCCTGCAAACAGGTTTCCACCTCACAATTGAATACCAGGAGCACATGAGCTGAAGTGGTCAGGCTCCTCCCCTGCATAAGGTGGGAATTCCTGGTGACTCCTCCCCATCCCGCCAGTGCTTGTAGGCCTCCAGTCCTCTGCCGGCATGTCCAGGCAAGACAAGTCCAGGTTCCCTTATCTGCACATAACATTGCAGAAATATCTATTCAAAATCTTTGCCCATTTTTTAAATTGGGTTACCTTGTTGTTTATGAATTGCAGACATTCTTTATATGTCCTATATATGTAAGTCCCTTATCAGATATATGCTTCTCAAATACTTTCTTCTACTCAGTGTCTTACCTTTTCACTTCTTGATACTGTCTTCTCAGGCACAGCAGTTTTCAATTTTGAAGTCCATTGAATCCATTTTTCCTTTGGAGTCATAGCTAAGAAAACACTGTGAAATGCAGTCACAAAGATTTATGCCAGGGTTTTCTTCTGAGGGTTTTATAGTTTTAGCTGTTACAGTTAACTGTTTTATTTTGAGTTAATTTTTAAATAAGATATCTGGTCCAGCTTTATTTATTTTTTGCATATGGATACCCAGTTTTCCCAGCACCATTTGTTGAAAAGACTATTCTTTTCCCATTCTGTTCTTTTGTTAACCTTGTATAAAATCAATTGACTGTAAATGTGCAAGTTTATTTTTAGATTATCAACTCTTAGCTTGTTTATGTCTATTCTTATGCCAAGGCCAAATCAAATTTAATGAGGAGTTTTTTTCCATCATATTGCATATTACCAGATGTCTTATGTCATAATAAAAATTAAATGTAGTGGAATATCTTTAACTTCACTTTTTGTGTCTCGAAGATGTCTCTGGCCAGCTTATACCTTACTTAGTCTAAGACATGATGGGAAGTCAGGCTTACAAGACACACTTGATTTCTTTTTTTCTCCATTCCAACCTTTAGTCTCTTTTCCATTGCTCCACTCTATAGTTGTATTTGCGGAAAGTTTTGATCACAGGATATGCTGACATAGTCTAATATTTAGTGCATTATGTTTTGCTAATTCATTGTACTTCATAGAATCTTCCATAGCTGTCTACCATCCAGGAAGGAGAAGTTTAAGTCTGAGCTGCCAGCTTTCCTCAGTGGAAATCAAGTGAAGTCATCATCTTTCAGTTCGCAGATCCTCTTTCCACCTGGTAGCTGGTTCTCTTGGGTAGCATTGTGGCTAATACTTTTCTTGGTGCCAATCTTGCATTCTCAGAAACCACAGTTCCCTGTATTGACCTCCTTTTGCTGAAACAGAGATGCACAGCTCTGCTTTCTAGCTCAGTAGACGATTCTTGGAATATAAAGTTTAATTCATTCCAAGAAAAAGTCTTAGGAGTGCAGCACTTCAAAATCAGGTAATGTTCAGGCAATTTATCAGAGACACATAGTAGATTAGTATTTTGACTTTTGAAATTTCAGGATGTGCTATAGAGACACATTGTGGCATAACATAGAGATGGGATGGTCTTAACTTCTCCATACAAACAAGCTTGAAGTAAGGTGAAGGAGAAATTGCATTTGATGTCTTAGCACTCAAAGCGTGCTGTTTATTTTACTTCTTTGAAGACTAAAAATCATTCCATAATGTTCTCCTTATTTCCTCACTGAGAAAAGGAAAATGAAAATTGAACACTAGATCGATTAATAAATACTCAAAGCTTCTTCTTTTAGGATTTTAGTTCATTGAAATCAGGTAAATGTCTGATTTTGGTTATGTAACCAAGTATTTCTAGTTGTTTCTCAAATCATATGTCTTCTTGCTTCCCAGTCTGGTCTCCTAACTTGAGGGGAAATTGTAAGGAGACACCCTGGCCTTGTTATCAGAGCTCATAATTGAAGGGGGTTTTAGGAAAAGTTCCTCCTCAGCAGCTTATGTCTCTCTCCTGGTTATCTGCTGCTTCTCAGTAATGTTTGCCATCAGTGAATAAATCTCAACATTTATTAGATCCTACTTTAAAGGAGACTCTTTTCTGCTACACAAGTTATGTTTCCTGTCCTTTATTTTTCTAACAATTACCCAGAGTTTTGTGACTTACAAGAAAAACATTTCGTTTGTTCATGAACCTGTGGTTTGGAAAAAGCTTGGCCAGGAGAGCTTGTCTCTGCTCCCCTCAGCTTCTCTAGGAACAGCTGATCGTTTGGGGAAATGGAATCATCTGAAGCTTTGCTCACCCACGTGTTTGATGGTTGATACTGGCCATTGGCTGGAACCTTGGTTGGGGCAGGCAGCATGAACACTGACCCTGGCACTGCCAGGCTGTCTTTGTGGCCTGATCTCTCTCACAATCTGGGGGCTGAGTTCGAAGGGAAAGCAGTCTGAGATAGGGAAGCCACATGGCATCCCTTTTACTGCATTCTATTCATTAGAAGGAAGTCAATAAGGTTGGCCCATATTCTGTTTTTAAATGGGATGAATATAGCCTCGCTTCTGTTCTAATTGACATATATATATATATATATATATATATATATATATACACACACACACACACACATAATTATGGCCATAGAGTGACATTTTGATACATGTACATAGTGTGTAATGATCAAGCTAACTAGCACATTTACTACTTCAGTCATTTTTCATTTCTTTGAATTATGAACATTCAAAATCTTCTGGCTTTTAAAAAACATACTATAAATCATAGCCATATTCACCCCACAATACCACAGAACACCGGAACTCATTCCTCTTATCTAACTGTAATTCTCTATCCATTAACCAGCCTCCCCTCTCCTACTTCTGTGAACTTTTTTGTTGTTGTTAAGAGACAGGACCTTGCTAGTGTAGTCTGGGCTCTGGGCAACTGTAGTCATCCAGATTGGAGACAGAGGTTTGATCATAGTTCACTGTAGCCTCAAACTCTTGGGCTCACACGATCCTCACACCTCAGCCTCCTGAGCAGCTGGGATTATGGGCATGCAGCACTGCACCTGTCTGATTTTTGACTTTGTAGAGATGTCTCCCTATGTTGTCCAGGGTGCACTGGAACTTTTGGCCTCAAGTGATTTTCCTGCCTTGGTCTTTTAAAGTGCTAAGAAATAACAGGCATCAGCCATGTTACCCAGCCCTCAGTTTTTCTTCAGCTCCCACACATGAGTGAGAATGTGCAGTATTTATCTGCACTTAACATAACATCCCTCAGACTGATCCACGTGGCCACAAATAACAGGGTTTAATTCCTTTATATGGTGAATAGTATTCCATTGTGTATGTGTACCACAGGATTTTGTCCATTCATTTGGTTAGTTGACATATAGGTTGATTTGATACATTAGCTGTTGTGAATAGTGCTACAATAAACATGTGAGGACAGGTATCCTTGTGATCTATTGTTTTCTTTTCTGTTGCCTGAATACCCAGTAGTGGGGTTGCTGGGTCCCTGGGCAGTCCCATTATTAGATTTTTGAGAAAAACTCGTGTTGTTTTCTGTAGTGGCTGCACTAATTTACCTTCCCACCAACAGCATGTAAGAGTTTCCTGTTCTCCGGAGCCTCACCAGCATTTGTTATTTTTATATCTTTTCAATGATAGCAATGTATTCAAATTGAAGCAAGATTATATCACATTGTAGATTTGATTTATATTTCCCTGAGGATTAGTGATACTGAACATTTTAAAATTTATTTGTTGGCTATTTGTAGTTCTTTTTTCTAAAAACAAGTATAGTTAGATATTTTGTTCGATTTTGAACTCAGATTTTTTTTTAACAGTCAAGTTGTTTGAGTTTCTTGTACATTTTACATATTAGTCCCTTATCAGATGAATAGTTGACAATATTTTCTCCCACTCTACAGGTTTTCTCTTCACTCAGTTGTTTGCTGGCCAGAAGCTCTTTAGCTCAATGTACTACCATTGGTCTATCATTTGTTTTTTCCTATGCTTCTGATGTCTTACCCATAAAAATCTTTGTGCAGACTAATGTCCTCAAGCATTTTCCCTATATTTACTTACAGTAGTTTGATAATTTGGGGCCTTACATTTCAGTCTTCAATTGATTATGAGTTTCTTTTTTATATGATGTTACAGAGGAAGCTAGTATCATTCTTCCCCATATGGATATTTAGTTTTCCCAGTGCCATTCATTTGAAGAGACTGTCCTTTCCCCAATGTATGTTCTTGGCACCTTAGTCCAAAATCAATTGGCTTTAAATATGTGGATTTATTTCTGGGTGCTGTATTCTATGGCCTTTACCCCAAGAATCATGACTTCTTAAAATGCAATTCAAATTGTCCTGAAACATTTGCAGTCTAAGGAAAGGCTTATGGCATTGAATCCTTATTTACAGGATTCATTATTTTGTGTCTTTTTGAAATACGGTCTTTGTCTGTCATCCAGGCAGAAGTGCAGTGGTGTGGTCATAATTCACTGCAGCCCTGAACTCTGGGTACAAGCCATCCTTTTGCCTCAGTCTCCCAACTAGCTGGCTCTACATGCATGAGCCACCATGCCCAGATAATTAAAAATAAGTATACACACACACACACACACACACACACACACACACACACACACACACATATATATAGACATGGGAGTATCGCTATTTTGCTCTTGCTGATCTCAAATTCCTGGCCTCCAGTGATCTTTCTGCCACAGCCTCCTAAAGTGCTGGGATTACCGGCATGAGCCACCATCCCTAGTATAGAGTATTAAATTATTTTCAAAGTCTTATTCCCAGAGCCATTTATTGACTTTGGCCTAAATCACCCACTATGATATGTCTGACACCGTTTTGACATATTATGGGGAGTGAGGATGAGGGAGGGGGTTAGACACTTTTCACTGAGAGATCACTTAGTGCCATTGAAGGAGGAACAGAAATGTATTATCAGGAAAATAAAAGTCAGATGAAGTGCAAAAGTTCTCTGGAAAGATGATGACAGTAAAGCATATATTTTTGTGACTCATGGTAGCTTTAACTTTGCTCTTAAAATTCAGAGTAATTTAAGGCTTTACATTTGAAGAATGTACTGTGTTACAGATAACATTTTATTGCAAGTAAATACTTTTCAAAATTTGCTATTGGTTTTGTATTAGATTATTCTTAGTCTATATCAAACTATATTATTTTATTCATGCAGTTTGATGATCTTATGGCAGAGAAGGAAGCTGTATCTTCAAAATGTGTCAGTTTGGTGAAAGACAATCAAGTTCTTCAACAGGAGTTATTATCTATGAGAAAAGTACAACAGGAATGTGAAAAACTTGAGGAGGATAAAAAGATGTTGAAAGAACAAATATTAAATCTTAAGACACATATGGAAAACAATATGGTAGAACTTGGCAAAGTACAAGAATATAAATCAGAGCTAGATAAAAAGGCAATGCAGGCAATAGAAAAATTAGAAGAAATCCATTTACAGGTTAGTTTTTTAAATCAGGTAAGTTTATCTGTAATGTGCTTTCATTTATTTCACTGCAAACTGTATTTTGGATATGTATATATTGTGTTTCTTCTGCCTCTCTTGTAGCAATTTGCTTTGTAGAGTTCTAGAAAAAAATGGCATCTGTTTTTTCTTTTAAACATTTAAATTTCCATTATTACTATAACAAGATCAATCTTTCAGAGTAATGATTCTCACTATGGAGTCATTTGATGATTAAGAAGACCAGTTGGCATAAGAAAAAATTGTGATTTAGAGATTATGTGATACTTTTAAATTGGTCTTAAGCTACATTGTTCTTTGATCACTTTTTAAAATTATGAATGCATTCTATTACTTCTTGTATGACCAGATTACATTAACAGTAACATAATTATGATTTCAAATTTGTATAAATCAGACTTAATTCTGAATTCAGTTATTAGTTTTTTTGATATTGCTGATAAATATGTTAAGCTCCAGCCTTTTTTTTTTTTTTTTTCTTTTTTTGAGACAGAGTCTTGCTCTGTCACCCAGGCTGGGGTGCAGTGGCCGGATCTCAGCTCACTGCAACCTGCACCTCCCGGGTTTACACCATTCTCCTGCCTCAGCCTCCCGAGTAGCTGGGACTACAGGCGCCCACCACCTCGCCCGGCTAGTTTTTTGTATTTTTTTAGTAGAGATGGGGTTTCACCGTGTTAGCCAGGATGGTCTCGATCTCCTGACCTCATGATCCACCCATCTCAGCCTCCCAAAGTGCTGGGATTACAGGCTTGAGCCACCGCCCCCGGCCCAGCCTCTTTTTTTTTTTTTTTTAACATATTCAAAATTGCTCTTTGAATCACTGACTCAAAATGAAAGGCAAAAAACATATGGTAATTAGGTTATAATTGTTTTAAAAATGTATTCTTTTCATTCATTTTAGACACAAGCACAACATGAAAAACAATTGGAGCAGTTAAGCAAGGATAACATGGCTTCACTAAATAAGAAGGAACTCATGCTTAAAGATGTGGAATGTAAATTCTCCGAAATGAAAACTGCTTATGAAGAGGTTACAACCGAATTGGAAGAATATAAGGAAGCCTTTGCAGCAGCATTGAAAGCTAACAATTCCATGTCAAAAAAAATAACAAAGTAAGTCAAAACATACAATTGTAGGAAATGAATTAAGCTCACTAATTTGTTTTGAAAACATAATTTTTAGTGAGATGGCTTCAGGAGATTAGTACGAAGTGAATGCTAATTTGATAATGTAATTTTGGAAAATAATGTTAGTAAATAATCTTACCTTTAAAATATTAGTCAAGGATAATGTCTGTCCCATTTCTATTTTTTATTTTTATTTTTTTGCTTTTGTATGACTTTTTTCCTCTGAAAACTCTCATGTAGTTAATCTGATCTGTTAGTTTTTGTCACTAAGTATTTTTGAAGCTTTATAATTCATAAAGCGATCTTGTTATAAAATTACTTGTCAGAGTTTCCCTAAATAGAAAGATTAATGAGTTTAATTTATTCTTCGGTAGATCACAACCTACACCCAAAGTGTCGAGTGGTACTGCTACTCTGGGCACAATCGTTTTTAATTGTGATTTTTAGTATTATCAATAGAGGGTGTCTCAAGAAAGACTATTTGTGTAACATTTTCAAGATGTTACAGAAAGGCATCCTTGTGAAATAGGGAATAATTATCAAGGAATTTAAAGAAGTGTAATTCACAAAGTCGTTAAAAAGTAACACCTTGTTCAGCCTGAAGATTTGTGTGGAAGGCAGAAAGAACAAGCCCCCCACTCCAGTGCCTTGGTCACAGTGCTGGGGGCTAATTGCCTTCAGCGCTGCTTTAGTTCTTTTTATTCCAAGCCACACCATCTAGTTCTCCCCAGGAGCTGTTGCTCTGAGTTCTTCCTCAGTGCCAAATGCTTAATTGTTCCCAGATAATGGGTGAAATGTACAAGGGTGAAACCTAAAATTTCTTTACTAAACAGAACTATTCCTAGATTTTTTTTTGTTCATTTTACAACATGATGTTTTGATATAATGATTTCCAGTGAAGTGGTTCTTATACGCCAACAAATCAACATTTTCATTTTCCCGCATAGTTACCCTTTAAATACAAGTATTTCTAATGGAATCTTTAGAATCGCACAAGTGGAGCCATTTTAGAAAGCAGCAAGTTTCACCTGGTGAGCCGTGCATCACTGACAGCCGTTTCTCTCCCCTGTCTACTTTGTTTGAACTGCTTGTTCAGTATAAATTACCTTAGAAACACGGGTGCTTCTTTAGGCTTACAACAGGTATGCTGTCACACATCTTCGGTGTGAAAACACCGTTTAGTGGGTACTTTGGTTTACTCTCAGGGCAACGTTTTAAAAACTGCAAGTCATTAAGAATCATTTAAGGAAAATGAAATACTAAGCATTTGTCTTTGCTGTCTTTACAGATCGAATAAGAAAATAGCAATGATCAGCACCAAGCTCCTTATGGAGAAAGAGCGGATGAAACATTTTCTCAGCACTCTTTCTACAAGGCGAGACCCAGAGTCACCTTGTGTTGGAAATCTTACTAGTAGAGGACTCAACAGAAAATATGTTCCCCAAATGTCCATCAGAATTCCTACTTCAAACCCACAGACTTCAAATAACTGCAAGAACTACTTCACTGAGGTTAGTTATATGATCGTTTCTCTTTTGGCTTTCATTTCTCTAATATAATTCCTCTTTGTAATTTGGTGAAATACTGAGTTGTTCTGTTGACTTATGCATGTTAAGTAAAGATCATAATTAGCTATGTTAACACAGAAAGGAAATGGGAACTTTTCATTTTTTAATTCCCTGGAGCTCCCATTTTCAAGAGATACCCATTTCCTAGCTTTATTCAATACATGTGACTAAACTGACACATTTAAAATGTCTTTAAAAGCTGCATTTAAGTTAGGTTTTAGAAATTGCATGTTATTGCCTAATAACTGACGATATACCTTGAGATGCTTTGGCTTACTCTCTAATTCTAGTTTAGTTGCAGTGCATACTACCGCCTTTTTTTTTTTCTTTTCTTTTCTTTTTTTTAATACAGTGTCTCACTCTGTTGTCCAGGCCGGAGGGTCGTGGCACCATCTCGGCTCACTGCAACCTCCACCTCCCAGGTTCAAACGATTTTCCTGCCTCAGCCTTCCAAGTAGCTGAGACTACAGGCGCCCACCATTACACCCAGCTAATGTTTGTATTTTTAGTAGAGAAAGGGTTTCACCCTATTGGCCAGGCTGTTCTCAAACTCCTGACCTTGTCATCTACCTGCCTCAGCCTCCCAAAATGCTGGGATTACAGGCATGAGCTACTGCGCCCAGCCCATGTCACTTTTAAAGTTTGTTTGCAGCAGACACCACGGTGACTCATGCCTATAATCCCAGCACTTTTGGAGGCTGAGGCAGGTGTGTCACAAGGTCAGGAGTTCAAGACCAGCCTGGCCAAGATGGTGAAACCCCATCTCTATTAAAGTACAAAAAAATATTAGCCGGGTGGGGAGTGGGCACCTGTATTCCCAGCTACTAGGGAGTCTGAGGCAGAGACTTGCTTAAACCTGGGAGGCAGAGGTTGCAGTGAGTCGAGATCACACCACTGCTCTCCAGCCTGGGTGACAGGGCAAGACTCCATCTTGAAAATAAAAACTTTTAAAAAAGTTTATTTGCACCATCTCAACTCTTCCCACCCATAATCACAACTGAATGATTGGCATCCAAACACTTTACCACATATGGATGTTTATTATTTAGTAGAATCCAATTTAATTGCATTTTATGAATTAAACAAAACCCTAAAATGTTAATTTCCTTTTTTATGTTAAAAGCTTTGTGCTTGGCCAGGCGCGGTGGCTCAGACCTGTAGTCCCAAGGCCTAGAAGTTTGGGACGCTGAGACAGGTGGGACGCTGAGACAGGTGGGACGCTGAGACAGGTGGAACACCTGAGGTCAGGTGATTGAGACCAGCCTGGCCAACATGATGAAACCCGTCTCTACTAAAAATACAAAAATTAGCAAGGCATGTTGGCAGGCATGTGTAATCTCAGATACTCGGGAGACTGAGGGAGGAGAATCACTTGAACCCAGGAGACAGAGGTTGCAGTAAGCCAAGATCATACCACTGCACTATAGCCTGGGTGATGGAGACTATCTCAAAAAAAAAAAAATCGGTTTGTGCCATTCTCACATAAGAGTACGTCCTCTGACTATAAAAATCCTGGAAGAAATCCTAGGAAATGCTCTCCTGGATATCATGCTTGTCAATTAATTTATGGCTAACTCCTCAAAAGCAACTGCAAGAATAACAAAATTGACAAGTGTGATCTAATTAAGCTAAAGGGCTTCTGCACAGCGTGAGGAACTATCACTGGATTAAACAGATAGCCTAAATAATACAAGAAAATATTCACAAACTATGGATACAGCAAATGCTTATTATCCAGAATCCACAAGAGACCTAAACAAATCAACAAGCGAAAAATAAATAACACCGTTAAAGCTGGGCAAAGGCCATGAACAGACACTTCTCAGAATAACATATGTAAGTGGCCAACAAACACATTAACAAATGCTTACCATTGATAATCATCAGAGAAATGCCAAATAAAACATCAGTGAGATACCATTTCACACCAGTCAGAATGACTTTTGTTAAAAAGTAAAAACATATATATATAAACATATATATATATATGTTGGGGAGGCTGTGGAGGAAAGGAAACACACACTGTTGGTGGCAATATAAATTAGTTCAGCTGCTATGGAGAGCAGTTTGGAAATTAAGTACTAAGAATGACCGTTGCATGAAGCAACCTCATTACTCTACTAGGGGTATGCCTTTATAAAGGACAATAAATCATTGTAACATAAAGATGCATGAACATGTGTGTTCATTGCAGCACTATTCAAAATAGCAAAGACATGGAGTCAATCCAGGTGCATCCAAGGTAGATTGAAAATCCAAGCTAGATTGGAGAATTCCATATATACAATGGAATACTTTGCAGCCATGAAAAGAACAAAATCAGGCCCTTTGCAGCAACGTGGATACGGCTGGAATCTACTACCCTACTCAAACTAACACAGAAACAGAAACCAGATATCTCCTGCTTTCACTCATGTGAGAGCTACACATTGGGTGCACATTATCATAAACATGGGAATAATAGACACTGAGAAATAAGAACGGGGAGGGACAGAGTGGGCCAGGGTTGAAAAACTACTTATTGGGTCATATGCTCACTACTTGTGTGATGTGTTCAATTGTACTCCAAATCTTGGCATGCCTCAATATACCTTTGGAAAAAACCTCCACAGGTACCACCTTAATTGAGAATACAAACTAGAAAAAAAAATTAATAAAAGAAAAATTTACCATAAAAAAGTTTAGTATAAGTAGAGAATAGAAATTTCTTTTTAAGATAAAAATTTATTGGAGTAAAAAAACAGATTAAACTTTTATAAAGGGGAGAGTTCTGCTAAGAATTTCAAAGTAATGCATTCATTGTAAAAGATGACTTTAATTTTCTTTTTCTTTTTTGAGAAAAGGTCTCACTCTGTTGCCAGTCTGGAGTGCAGTGGTGCAATATTGGCTCACTGCAACCTCCAACCCCTGGCTTCAAGTAATTTTCCTGCCTTAGCCTCCCAAGTAGCTGGGACTACAGGTGTGGGCCACCACGTCTAGCTAATTTTGTATGTTTAGTAGAGACCAGGTTTCCTCATGTTGGCCAGGATGGTCTCGATCACCTGACCTCGTGATCTTCCCGCCTTGGCCTCTCCAAGTGCTGGGATTCCAGGCATGAGCCACCACACCTGGCCATTGTTTAACCTTTGTACTAATAAACACCACCTTTCTAAAATTATGTATATGCAATAGACCAATATTAACTGTGTTTTTGTCCAATTACTCTAAGCAACATTACACAGATACATCCTCTGTTATCTAAATTAAAATAAGTAGAAAATTTACTTTATGTATGTGATTATTTTTCTTTTGAAGCAAACTTCAAGTTATGTCTAGTCACTAAAAATACTAAAGACCACAATTTGTAAGTGATATATTATTTTCATGATAATGTTTTTTGTTTAACTTAAACATTATTATTATTTTCACTTATTTTAGATGGAGCTGGACTGTGTAGAACAAATAATTAGAGAGACAAAGAGAAGTATGTTACCAAAATTTATTCCTTAAATTTAGGTTTATTTTAGAAATAAAATTTAATAACAAATGGCATTCCTTTTCATTGTTGGGTTAGTAGATACCATCTTAAGTATTTTTCTCTTATGCACATCTAATGAAAGATATGAAAACAAAAACTTCCACAGAGAAGACTGTCCTTGTGCACCATAAATTCATCACATCCCATAGCTTCAAAAATTCCCAAGAAGTCTATGCATCTCTTTTTCACTGGATCTACACTTTCTTAAGTTTTTCCATCCTCATGGAACTGTCAGCCAGCACCCTGAAACGATTCTCAGAAAACAAAGGCATCATCAAGTTCTCAGGGTTTTGGTAGAGATTGAAGGCCAACAGATGTCAAATTCATTCAGAAATACTTAGCTGAGCAATAACCCTTCGTAGGCAGTCACTTGACAAGTGACATTTTAAATCTCCTGTCATTTACTGTGTCATTGGCTTATGTCTGTTCTCAGGAAAAGTTCCAACTTTTTCACCATGAAATAAAAACACCCACATCAATGTGATTCCTGTCAAGTTACTCAACCTTGTCTCTCACCACTTACTGCACTCTGCCCTTTGCTCTAGCGCCAAACTGGACGGAGCGGAACTCTGCAGGGCTCTTCCCCACCTCAGGCTCTTTGCCTGCACCTCTTCCCTCTCTCTGATGAGCTTTTCCTTGTCCTTCAGGTATCAAGTTATATTATCTCCTCCACCAGAAAGCCCATGATATTGACATAAAAGTGGGATAGAGGACCCTTCTGTGTGTTCCAGTAGTGCCCTGCTGTATACCTCTTGTGTATCCATGACTCTATATGGACATTGTCTTGTCTGGTTTTTTTGGGTATAGCTTATGACTGTTGGGAGGTGGACCATACCATCTTCATCTTGAAATTCTAGTGCTGGTTCTAGAATCTTAGCACGTGTCTGTTGAGTAGATGAATGAAGAATGAAAAAGCTCTGATATTTAAACACAATTAGATTTAATGTCATGTGTAAATTATTTAATAATAATTTTGTATTGTAAATGTACATACATATTTCTCATTCTTATTAACTCTGATAAAGTTCTCAACTCTTTAGTTTTTAAAATCACACTGAGCTAACCAAAGTGTTTTAGGTAAAGAACATAATTCTTTGTTTTTCTTTCCAGCTGTTGCTGTGTTGGACACTTTCACCCGTCTACTTTCTTCTGCAGAATCCACTGGTAAGCCACGTCTAATCAAGAGAATATTTAACCATAAAATCATAAGGACAAATTTTGTGATATAAAAGATTATAAAACTTTATTACTGGGCTATTTACACAACATTTTAATTGTTTCTTATAAAATATACAACATCACAATCTTTACTGAAGTAGGATATTTTTGTATCATATGTATGAAGATAACTTGTAGGGTATTTTAAATGATGTTTTTCAGTCTCCTTCAGTTTTAAGTGGATCTTGAAGATGAAAACCAGTATTATTGAGTTTGACATACTCAAATTGCCCAAATGCCAGCTATTTAAACAGCCAAACAACCAAGTCATCATTGATTCTTTAGTAAAGGTCATCGAAGACTTATTTGCATATCACAGTTTTTATTACTTAGGAGACCTAAGGAGTACCTGCCAGGCTTGTCCATGCTAATGTTATGATTTTCTTTTTCTAGTTGAACCGTATTTTGTGTGGTGATGATCTGAGGCTCTGTAAATATCTGGTTACTCCTCAAAACACACTAGATTTGGCATTTCATGGATGACTTGTGTTTGAACAATTATTACTGCAATGGTTGCCAGGTGATTATTTTCTGATTCTCTTCTTTGTTCTACATGGAGAAATAAAAACAATAAATAAGGGAGAAGGGAAAGCTCATGTTTCTGGTGCTCCAATTCCCCAAGATTAGGCCAGTGGTAGATATTCTAAGCTGACTCTTTATGTCTTTTTGATTTGTGCCTGTTACTCTGTCAGCACTTTTTTACTTTCTGGCACAAGATGTTCTAAGATAATCTTGTGTTTTCTCTGCCCCAGCCCTGAAATGAGTGATTTTTTTTGGAATCAGAGGTGGAGCCACTGAGGAAGTATAGGCGAGCCCTCCCCAGCATGTGCTCACTGGTCCTCAACAGAAGAACAGCTGCTGCATCCACTGAGGTACCAAGAAACTAGCAAAGGGCCTTCTGGCTGTCTGGGGTCAGTCCTCATGTGGTCCCTGGCTCAGCCTCAAGGGTTCTGGGTTAGTCTCCCTGCAGCCTCTGTGCTGTGTCTCTAGATCGGGCTCTGCGGGAAGGGCCCCGGGAGACCCAGCAGCACAGGGTGTCTCGTCTGCCAAATGTCCCTCCCTTCCTCCCACTCTGACACTCAGGAATAGGGTAGATGGGGTTTCCAGGCTGTGCCAGGCCACCTCACTGTCTCCTCTGAGATGAACCCTGAGGGCCTTGGGGGATGAGTGTGAAGCTGGCTACCTGGAGCCTGAGGCTGACTGTCTCTCCCTGTGTCTTGGAGGAGAGGCCTTGTCCCAAGAAAACCCCCAGGGCCTGACCCCTGGGCATGCATGCAGGGAGGGAGGGTCTGTGGGCTAAGGGGGGGCATGGTAATGAGACTTTAAGCAGCACTGCTCAGGGGCCGGGTGGGTAGACCGTGGTCAGAAATGACCTGGTCATTAGGACCTAGTCAGTTGGTACCTGATCACCAGGGGCCTGGTTAGTGGTGTTCTCCTCAGTAAAGTTCTCATCAGTAGGGACCTGGCAACCTAGTCATTGGAAGCCTGGTCAGTGGGGACATGGTCAGTGGGGGGTCTTATTAGTGGGGCCTCATCTGTTGGAACATAAACAATGAAAAACTGGTTGGTGGAGCCTATACAGTATACCAGGGGCCTGGTCAGTGTGGGGCCTTAGTGGCTTGGAGCTTGGTCAGTGAGGGCCTGGTCAGAGGGGACTTGGTCCGCTGGGGACTGATCCATGGAGATTTGTTCAGTGAGGGATGGGGGGGCAACAACCTGGGAAATTGTGGTCTTGTCAGTGGGAACCTGGGCAGTGGGGACCAGGTCAGTGGGAAATTGGTCAGTGGAGTCTGGCCCATGAGGCCGATTAAGTGTGAGCCTGGTTAGGAAGACATGGTCAGTTGGGACTTGGTCAGTGGGACCTGGTCAATGGAGGAGTGGTCATTAGGGTCCTCGTCAGTAGGGATCTGGTCAGGGGCGGCTGGTCAGTAGGAATGTGGCCATCTGGCCACTGTGTGACCTCAGGCAGAGGGTTTGTCTGTGGAGTCTCCTTGCTTCCATCTGCAGGGAAGGTGAGTCAGGGCACCCTGGCAGGTGGTTGGTAAAAGAAGATGAGAAGATGTGTTGTATCCAGCACTGTTTGGCAGACCTACAACTTTACACAGGACCTGTATTCCACCTAGAGAGGATGCCAGCCCTTTCTGCTCTACCCGGTGCCCCTCCTTTGTCTGCATCCCCAGGACCCCCATGGATGGGGAAGGCAGAGATTGGAGAGCACCTGTAGAGGCTCTAATGCTGGCCACGGGCCCTGGTTGTGACAGTGGTGAGACCTGGGTGCTCCCCTGAGTGTAGAAGCTAAGCCTGGCCAGAGAAGCAAGACAAACACACACATACGCACACACACACAGGCACACACACACACATGCACAAACACACTGCATGCAGACGTGTCAGTTCAGGGGGTAGAGGACACTGACTCTGGGCCCTCTTGACCCAAGCAGGCTCCAGTTGTGCTGGGTTGTGTCACCCCACGATGTCACTGTTGCTGAGCCCCCATCGCCTCTGTGTTGTGGAGCAGTTAGAGGCACACAGCAGAGTCCGTGAGTGGCTCTGCATGAAGGACTGTTTTCTACATGAGAAGCACATCTCAGCACAGCTGACTCATCAGACTCAGGTGAGTGGAACCTGCTCTCTTCTCTTCCTCCTGGCTTGGGGACAGTCGCTATCAGGTGGGTGGTTTTGGCCTCTGGGCAGCTACTGAGGATAAACCCTAAACAGTCACCGGGTGCCTGTTCTGTGCTGACAGTCATCTCATTCATCCTCACAGCAATTCCATTCTGAATCTCCTCTGGACACCCCCAGGACCACCAGGACAACCCCATCAGGGCCCTGTCACCAGGCCCAGTCTGGCTCCATGATAACCAAGACGCAGGTCCAGAGACAAGCGCCCTGCATGGTGCCTGCATGTGACTCCCCTTGGTGGGTAGTGACCAGCTCACCACGGAAGAAGCCAGGGCAGCATGCGGCCATCTGCCCTGCAGCCCCAGATGACTCCTGGGCCTTAAGAAGTCATTCTTAAAGGGAAAGCTGGTCACTTTGAGGTCCCTGGAAGGAAGGGTGAATGTGTCATCCCAACAGCCCTGGCAGCCAGCAGCATGCCATACATCTTCTCACCCGATCTTTGTGACAGAGGCCACCTTCTGGGGCACAAGTCCCATACCTAAAGGGTCCTATCTCAGTCGGCCTCATCCTGAGCCCTGGGATGGGAGAGGCACCATGCACACCCCTGCAGCAGCCAGGATTACCACCCAGGGGACTCATCCTTCTGTGGCCCTGGCCAGACTTAGAATTTGGCCCAAGACAGGACAAGCTCAGTCAGAGCAGCTTGTCAGTACCCAGAGTCTATGTATGCCAGACATGGCCAAGCTGGCTCAAAGAGCAACCAGCCACCTCTGCAAGGGTGTGCCAGGAGCAGGTGGACCAGCCACCAACCTCATCCACTCAAGTAAACAGAGATGGCCAGCTTCTCACACCCTGAGTGACCACCACCTGACAGCTGATGAAGTGGAGGCCTGAGGAAAAGCAGATGGCACTGGGGCCCTGCTTCCAGGGCAGAATAACTGATTGACCCTGACTGGCAGTGAGTTGGTGACTGGTCCACCTGCTCCTGGCACACCCTTGCAGAGGTGGCTGGTTGCTCTTTGAGCCAGCTTGGCCTTGCCTGGCATGCACAGGCCTCAGTGCAACAACTGTGCTGCAAATGGAGTCACATAGAGGATATGAGCAGCAGCCTCAGGAGCAGGCTGTGCACTGCCTTTGGGGCTCCAGCCCATGCATCAGGGCTTCTACAGCACTGTGGGCTTCTTGGGTGCCAAGAGGCAGACCACAGACCATCCTGAGGAGGACTCTGGTAAGAGCTTCCTTGTGTATGTGGATGATGTCCAGGATGTTGGCCTGGTGTCCCTGAGGCAGCACTAACAGGTCCATGACTGGGTCCAGGTCCTGCCTGGGCTGATTGGCGAAGATCTCCCTGGCAGCATTGAAGGCATTGGTGGTGAAGTGGCATCTATGTTCAAGTGCAGAAAGGGCCCAGTCTGGTGGATGAACCACACGGCCAGCTTCTGGGTGTGGGCACGGTGCCACATCCTTTGTCACTTCCTGATGTTCCCCACCAGCACTGAAGAGACAGCGTGGAGACAGGGCAAGAGGAAGGCTGAGAAGGATGAGATGGTGAGTCCCAGATTCTTCCTGTCCCTGAGCCCACCCTGAGTGACCCTCAACCTTTAGGAATGGGAGAGCAAGATTGACAGCTTCAAGTACTTCACCGAGAAGATAGACAACAGGGCACTCAGCTCAACTTCACAGCCAGTGAGTTGACATGCAAGCAGATGATGGTAACAGGCTTTAAGAAAGGGCATCAGATGGCAGCCAGTACTTCAGCCTCAGCCAGGCATTGGAGTTGGACCAGGCCATCCACTTCACCATAGAGGCCTTCCACACTATCAGTGAGCTCTTTGCCAGTCAGCCCAGGCAGGACCTGGACCCAGTCATGGACCTGTTAGTGCTGTCTCAGGGACACCAGACCAACATCCTGGACATCATCCACATGCACAAGGACGCTCTTACCAAAGTCACGGAGAGCCGGCAATATGTGACAGAAGTGAAGACAGAGGTGCAGAGGCTGATGACGTCAGAATCGCAGGAACAGGATTTCTTTGGCTACTTTGGCTGAAATTCACCACTTTCATCCAATTCCAGTGAGAGACATGGACTCACAGATGCTGCATTTCTTGCAGCAAAAGATACTGTTTTTTCAAAATGCCACCCAGGAATTGATAGTGTTGAATGACTAGATACTCGATCGTGGACTGCTTCCAGTTCAAGGATTCATTCTACAGAGAATAATAACACTAGAGCAAAGAGCTAGTGCACGCTATCGGTGGTAGCACAAGGATGGTTTTGTGATCAACTGAAATCCAGGTGAATACAGAATTGTGTAGGAAACAGTTAATATGATGATACAATAGAAACAGTAGCAAACATGAATTAAATCATGCTATGAATGCCTAAACTACCATTGTAACTTTTGGAAGAATAATACCACTTTACTGCTTTTTGAAGTATGAATATTTTAGTGTATGTGCTATAGGCCTCAAATCCTATAAAGAATCTCCGAGAAGTTGGCTGGATAAATCCTGCTGTGGATGTCTTTATACTCAAAGATTAATGATGTAATTTGCATTGTCCCCACCAAATCTCCTGTTGAATTATACTTCCTATTGTGGAAGGTGGATCCTGGTATAAGGTGATTGAATTGTGAAGGCAAATTTCTCATGAATGGTTCAGCACCATCCCCTTGTAGCATCCTCACAATCATGAGCAACTTCTCATGAGATCTAGTCACTGAAAACTCTACATCACCTCCCTACTCTCCGTGTTTTCCTCTTGCCATGTGAGACAACTTACTCACTCTTTCTTTGCCTTCCACGATGATTGATAGATGTCTGAGTCCTCCCAGAAGCAGAAGCCACTGTGCTTCCTGTCCACCCTGCAGAACCATGAGTCAATTCAACCTCTTTTTCAAAACAAATCATACAGAAAATGGCAAATGAGGATTGGAACATTGCTATAAAGATACTCAAGGATGTGGAAGCAGCTTTGGAACCATGTAATGGGCAGAGGTTGGAAGAGTTTGGAGGGCTCAAAAGAAGACAGATAGATGAGAAAACTTTTGGAACATCATAGAGACTGTTTAAATGGTTGTGACAAAAATCCTGATGGAACATGGATAGTGAAGGCCAGGCTGAGGAGGTCTCAGATATAAGAAGATTTCTGGAAAACGTCTTCCTTTTGGATATGGAAAGCTTAATACAATGTCTGTACCATCATTGTGCCTTAGAAGCAGTGAATTCCCTTTCTATTTCCGAGGCTCATAGGCAAAAGTGACTGTTGCCTTGACTCAGATGAGACTTTGGACTTTGTAACTTTGAGTTAATGCTGAAAGGAATTAATGCTGAAATGAGTTAAGACTCATGCTGGAAAGGCAGGATTGTATTTTGCAATGTGAGAAGGACATGAGATTCATGGGATCAGGGACTATTCTGTCCCTGTGTCCCTACCAAAACTCATGCGGAATTCTATTTCCTAATGTTAGTGATGGGGCCTAGGTGGCAAAAGATTTAGTCATAAAAGTGTAGGGGTGGATCATTCACGAATGATGAAGCACCATCCCTTGATGCTGTCCTGAGAGTGAGTGAGTGCTCATGTGATCTGGTTGTTTAACAGGCTGTGGAACCTCTGTCCTCATTTTGTGTTCCTCCTACTCCTGCCTTAGGAGACATCTCATCGTCCCTTGGTTTTATGATATAATTAGGAGGCTTCCTGATTCCTTCCAGAAACAAAAGACACTAAGCTTCCTTCACTGCTTGCAGAATCATGAGTCAATTAAACCTCTTTTATTTACAATAATAAAGAAAAGTAAAACTGCCAAGAGGAGCTGTGAGATGTCTTCAAGGCCTTTTTCCCTTTGTCTTGGCTATTAGCACAGGGCTTTTTTGTATGCAAATTTCTGAAGTCTTCTTCAATTTTTCCCCTTAAATTGGGTTTTGCATTATTACTACATAGTCAGCCTGCTATACAGATACCTGAAAAAGTAGAAGCAGGCTCAGTAGTGGCTAGCAAACAAAGATTGGAAGGGTTTGGAGGGATTGGAGCATGATGGAAAGATGAGGGACGGGGAGGGAGTGATTTAATTATGGATGGGCGGGGGGTGTGGAAGGAAATAAGGGGAGAGGGTGGGAAGGAATAGGCTGGCTGTAGGGTGGTTTCGAGGGTGGTGGGTAGTAGGCAGGGGTAGTAGCCTGCTGCAGAGGCAGAGCCTCATGGAAAACCCCTACTAGGGCAGTGCACCTGTGGCTTTGCAGGTTTGAGCCCGCATTGCCACTGTCAAGGACTCGACTCGTGTTCAGTGCCTGTAGCTTGTCCACACTGAGGGTGCAAGCTGTTGGTGGGACTATGATTCTGGGGGTTGGAGGGTGGTAGCCACCTGCGTGGGGGGCTCCAAGTCCATATTTTTCCTTCAGCACTGCCCTAGTAGAAGTTTACCAAGAACCCTGCCTCTGCAGCAGGCTTCTGCCTGGAAACAGCAGGGGGTGGGGGTGGCAGGCATATCCTTCACCAATGGTTAAGCACCATCTTCTTGATGCTGTCCTTGTGATAGTGTGTTCCCATGAGATCTGGTTATATAACAGGGTGTGGCACCTCTTTCCTCTCTCAGTCTTGCTTCTACTCCTGCCATATGTAGCATGTCCTTGCCCCTAGGCCTTCTGGTATGATGGGGAGGTTTCCTGAGTCCTCCCAGAAGCAGAAGCCACTATGCTTCCTTTACAGCCTGCTGAACCATGAGCCAGTTAAACCTCTTTTCTTTATGATCATATGGAAAATTAGTGCTGTAAAGTGGAGCCCTGAAATGCTTTCAAGGCCCTTTCCTCTTTGTCTTGGCAACCAGCACTCAGCTCTTTTCATGCAAATATTTGAAACCTTTGTGAATTTTCCCCCGAAAATGGACTTTTCTTCTTTTATTACATTGCCAGGCTGTGACAAAGAGAGCTGACAATGTAGAAGCAGGTTCAGAAGTAGGTAAAAGACAGAGGTCGGGAGAGTTGGGAAAGCTAAGAAGACAGCAAGATGAGGAAAAGTTTGGACCACTGTAGAGAATTGTTAAATACTTGTGATCAGAAGGCTGACAAAGGATAAACACTGAAGTCCAGACTTAAAAGGTCTCAGATGAAAATGAGGAATTTCCTGTTAACAGGAGTCAAGGTTCCATTTGATTGGCCTTAGCAAAGAACATGGCTGTGCAGTGACCCTGCCCCAGAGATCTGTGAACTATGAACTTGGGGTGGTGATTCAGGATGTAGCTGGTGGAATGAACATCTAGGCAGCATAGCATAAGAGGTGTCCTGTCTGCATTGAACAGCCTGTGTTCTTATGTGTACCTAAGAAATGACTTCAAGATAGAACTTCTATTAAATGAGAAGTGGAGACCTAAAGTTTGGAAATATTTTCAGCCTGGCCAAGTGTTCAAAAAGAAAAGCTGATTTTGAGTGGGAAAATTCAAGAAGCCTCAGGGTATGTGCATAAAAACGAGCCCAGTGCAAATAGACAAGACAATGGGAAAAAGGCCTTGAAGGCATCTCAGAGACCTCTGCAGCATCCCTTGCTGTCACAGCCCTGGGCCTAGGAGAGAAGAATGGTTTCCTGGAAAAGCTCCATGGCCTTGCTGCTGTGTGCACCTCAGGACACTGCTGGCTGCATCCCTGCAGCCCCAGCTCCAGCCATGGCTGAAAGATGCCACAGGTACAGCTTGGGTCACTGCTTCAGAGGTGGCTTCAAGCCTGATGGTTTCCATATAATGTGAAGCCAGCAGGTGCTTACAGCAAGAACAGAGGCTTGAGAGCCCCCATCTAGATCCAGAAGATGTACAGAAAATCCTGGATGTCCAGGAAGAAGCTTTTCCATAAGGCAGAGCCTCATGGGAACCTCTACTAGGGGACCAAGAAGGGGACATATAAGGTTGAAGTCCCCACACAGGGAGGCATCATCCTCCCAACCCCAGATTCATAGACCCACAAACAGCTTGCACCCTCAGTGTGGAAAAGCTACAGGCACTCAACACCAGCCCTGTCCATGAGAGCAGCCACAGAGGCTGAACACTGCAAAGCCACAGGTGCAGATCTGCCCAAGGTCTTGGGAGCACAGCCCTCACACCCCTGTGCAATGGATGTGGGACAGGGATTCTAATGGGATGATTTGGGAGCTGTAGGATTGAGTGACTGGTCTGCTGGATTTTGCACATTTATTTATCCTATGAGTCCCATCTGTGTTTTGTGCTTCTTTCTAGAAATTTTGTTTTCTATCAGCTGGGAATGCTTACCCATTGCCTGGTTATCATTGTACCTTGGAAGTAGTTAACTTGCTTTATAATTCAGTGGCTCATGGGCAGAAGGGACTGCAGACTTGTCTCAGATAAGACTTTGGGCTTTGGACATTTGAGTAAATGCTGGAATGAGTTAAGATTTGGGGGGACTATACAGAAGGCATCATTGTATTTTGCAATGTAGAAAAACATGAGATTTGGGGGACCAGGGACAGAATAATATGATTTATCTCTGTGTCTCTCCCAAAACTCATGTGGAATTGTAAATGGAAAATGTTAAAGGTGGGGACTGGTGGAAGGTGATATAATCATGGTGGAGAGTGGAGTTTGGATGGGGAAGGGTGGGGAGAATGGGGGTATTGGGGTGGGGAGAATTGAGGGGAAGGTGGTGGGGTTATGGGTAAAAGGCAGGGGTGGGGTGGATCCTTCACAAATGGTTAAACACCATGTCCTGATGCTGTCCTTCTGAAGTGAGTTCTCTTCACGATTTTGGAGCTGTGAGATTGAATGAACACTGGCCTGCTGGGTTTTGGGTGTCCATTGTGCCTGTGGTCCCATTGTGTTATTTTTCTTGGAAATTCTTCCCTTTGGATTGAGGAAACTTACCCAATACCTGTACCTCATTGTACCTTGAAAGAAACGAATGCACTTTTAACTTCAGTGACTCATAGGCAGAAGAGATTGTAGCCTTGTCTCAGATGAGACTTTGAACTTTTTACATTTGAGTTAATGTGGGAATGAGTTAAGCTTTTCGGGAAACTTTTGAAAAGGCATGACTGTGTTTTACTCTGTGAGAAGGACCTGAGATTTGGGGGGGCTCAAGTTCAGCATGATATGATTTGGCTGTGTGCCCTAGAAATACTCATGTGGAATTGTAATCCCAAATGTTGGAAGTGGGGCCTGGTGGGAGATTATATAATCATGGATGGGAGGGCTGGGGTGGAAGGAAAAAGGGGTGGGTAAGGTGGGAAAAGTAGGCTGGCTGTAGGGTGGTGCGAGGGTGGTGGGTGATAGGAAGGGAAGGAGCCTGCTGCGGAGGCAGAGGCTTATGGGAAAGCTCTAACCAGGGCAGTGCACCTGTGGTTTTTCAGCTTTAGCCTCCCATGGCTGCCTCCTGGGCTGGGCTGGTGTTGAGTGCCTGTAGCTTCTCCATACTGAAGGGTGGGAATTGTTGGTGGTCTATGGATCTGGGGGTCTAGAGGATGGTGGCCTCCTGCACGGCAACTCAAAGCCCTTATTTTCCTTCTGCACTGCCATATTACAGGATTTCCAGGAGGGCTCTGCCTCTGCAGCCAGTTTCTGTCTGGAAGCAGTAGGGGATGGAGGTGTGTTGCGGGGGCAGATCCTTCACCATCTTATGGTGCTAAACAGCACCATCTTCTTGATGCAAATGTCCTGATAGTGCGTTCTCATGAGATCTGGTTTTATAACAGGGTGTGGCACCTGTATCCTCTCTCAGGCATGCTCCTACTCCTGCCGTATGAAACATTTAATGGCTGCTTTCCTTCTGGTATGATTGGGAGGGCTTCCTGAGTCCTCCCAGAAGCAGAAGCCACTATGCTTTCTTTACAGCCTGCAGAACCATGAGGCCAACTGAACCCCTTTTCATTACGATCACACAGAAAATAAGTACTGCCAAGTGAATCTATGAAATATCTTCAATGACTTTTCCCCCATCGTCTTGGCGATTAGCACTGGAATTCTTTTAACGCAAACATCTGCAGCCTTCTTGAAGTTTCCCCTGAAATGGAACTTCTTTTCTTCTACATTGCCACGCTGCAACAAAGAAAGCTGAACAGGTTAAGAAGTGGGTAACAGCCAGAGGTTGGAGAGTTTGGAGAGCTTGAAAGAAGACAGGAAGATGAGGGAAAATTGGGACCATTGTAGATACCTGTTTATCTACATAATAGCACACTATTGGTGGGTCTATGACTCTGGTGTCTGGAGGATGGTGGTGTCCTGCGTGGGGGCTCCAAGCCCATGTTTTCCTTCTGTATTGCACTAGTAGAGGTTTTCCAAGAGGCTCTGCCTCTGCCTCAGGCTTCTGCTTGCAAACAGCGGGGGGTGGATATGGGGTGGTGGGTGGATCCTTCACCAGTAGTTAAGCACCATCTTTTTGATGCTGATCTCCTGATAGTGGGTTCTCATGAGATCTAGTGGTATAACAGGATATAACACTTCTTTCCTCTCTCTATCTTGCTTCTACTCCTGCCATATGAAACATTTCTTTGCTCCTGGTCTTCTGATATGATTGGGAGGCTTCCTGAGTCCTCCTAGAAGCAGAAACAGTTATGCTTTCTTTAGAGCCTGAAGAACTGTGAGTCAATTAACCTCTTTTCCTTATGTACATACAGAACATTAATGCTGCGAAGTGAAGCTATGAAATGGCTTCTAGACCTTTCCCCAATCTCTTGGTTATTTGCACTGGGCCTTTTTTAATGCAAATATTGGAGACCTTCTAGATGTTTCTCCCTGATAATGGACTTTTCTTCTTTTACCACATTGCCAGCCTGCGACAAAGATGGCTGACAATGTAGAAGCGGTTCCGA